ATGACCATGCTCCGATGAAAACGATACCGACCGTCCCGCCAATTTCACAAGCGTTAAAGAAATAAGTTGGGACGGTACCAGTATTTAAGTAGCGTGGCACACCGTTTAATAAAATTTGAAGTCGTGAAACTCCAATTCGCTCGACGCCAATGGCCGAATCGCGAATGGCCTGCCCGCTTATGGCTTTTTGCCAATACGAGCAGATGGCGTATGGTCGAAGCATGCCCGGTAACAAATAATTGCCCCTTGAGGACAGCCCGGTTGAGCTGAGGATTCCGGTCCGTCAAACCAGGGTCAAACTGTTCAACTTCAAAGCTCACCCAAGTCCGATCACGACCGGTTGCAAAACCTTGCCCAGACTTGAAGTCTTTCTCTGAATCGAAGTTCAAGACCCTTCGATGTTGCAGCCGTCGGGCATACCGGTAATTCGGCCAAGTTTAGAAACTATTAGCAGTGTACCGTACCAGCAAACAGCGAAATTTAATTAATTTCGTTTTTAATTAAATAATTATTTGGGCTGCCAAAGTTTTTGGAAAATGTTTTTCTTCGATGACGAAAAGATCGAATAATATCTACTGACGGTAAAGGCTGGTAATGGTTGTATTTGGCAGAGGAATGCTACTTTTACGAATGTCAGAAAAATATAAAATACTCTGCCGAAATGTCAGATCGATTAGAAACTAATTATTCGGCACGCTGACCGACGAAATCAAACGTTGGTACGGTACGAGCGGCTCCAATTGAAGTTGTCCAGACCGGACTTCCCTTCGAGGGGCACGGCCTCTCCGACCCGTCGGGCCCATATCCTTCACGCCCTGTCTAGTTTTACCGCTGAAGTCAAGTCGTTTGCATTGTTTGGATTTCTGATTCATATTTCTAAATTCTACAACTTAGAAAAGATCAATGCATCAGACGTGTGATTCGTGATTCTGAGTGAAGTCATGTGAACTTTATGCAAGCTCTGAGCTGATGCAGCACATTCGATTTTCTACCAGAAAGCTGTCTCTTGCCCCTCGTTGACAACTGCATTGTTTCTGAAAACTACCTTATTTAAACACGTTCAGGTGTCTTTCAGAGGCGAATGTCAGAGGGGAAGATGCTGTATGTTGCTGGGAGATCAGCCGAGGGTGTAGCAATGAAAGACACATGGCTCCAGGAGCTGATGCTAGCGGCCGGTATGATCTCCTGTGCCTCTCCAGTACGGGTCCAGACCTGGCTGGAGACATGAGGCCAGCTTTCAAAGGGGCCAGAGGGCCCAGTCATCCTATCCTGGCCCAGGAGCATATCATGAGGGCCAAGATGACATTCGAGCGGATGACCAGGTTTATGTCATTCCGGAATGTCAGGGTCTGGGAGGACCTCCACCAGGAGATAAGCCAGCGCACGCTCGCTGTCGTCCTGGCGGGGATTGCGCTTGCTTATGGACTCTCATGTAAGTATGTTTTGCAGAGGAACATACAGGCTATGGCAGAATTTGACGTCTCTTCACAATTGGTCACTTGCTCCTAGTAGTAAAAGTTGCAGGACCCGCCTGAGTTGCTTATGCTGGAAACCAGGGGGGAAGCAGTTCCTTCAAATTGCTGAAAGTGCCACCACTTTCTTGAGCAACGACCTGCTTGTCGCCAAAAAGCTGACCTCCATATCTGAAGCCCAGACATCTCATGCAGGGCTCTATGTGAAGGGCCGACCTCTGCTTCGTTAAAATGTTACAAAAGGAACTACCATATGCTGACCTGATATACTCTCGACTTTCCAGTGACAAGCGCATCGATGTGGGCGAACCTCCCAGTTGCGTTTGTCATTCTCCTCTTACTACGCCGCCTGAGCTTCAACTACGAGATTCGCTGGAGCCCCGACTACCACCCGGACTGCTGCATCCACAACCAGTGGCCTGTCGTGCACCAATTGGCGCCTGATGGCCCTCTACTTTCCTTTGACCTGCAAAAGCATCCCAAGCGGTTGGGAAACTGGAAAGTGGGAATCAACGCACCTGCCGTTGAGGCGGCAGTCGACGCACTGACAAAGGCAATTGTCAAGGAGTGGGTGACCAATTTGTGGTACCGGCTTGTGACTCCGGACGAGGTTAGGCCCTCATCGTTTTACCTCTTTCTGGAAGTAGATTCCTTCCAAGTTGACAAGCAACTTGCGACAGAGTGGTGCTTTCTACATCATGGGCAGATTATATTTTCCCCCCTTCACTAACCCCTGCTTGTGACCTAACGAGGTGGGAGAATCGAGATTCAGATGATTCTTGTGACCTGGTTCAAGCCAGCTTCTTTAGAGCTTAGATTTGTCCCAAAGTTTGCCTAGAGTTTAACGAAGGGCCTCCAAGTCCATTCTGTACTGGTGGTTCCTGGTATGTAACGCACTAAGCTTTGTAAGGCCCGGCACCTGTTTGACCTAAAGTTTGAAATATGATTTACTTCATTGTCTCGGCCCCAGCCTTCTTGAGAGGCTGGGGCCGAGGTCGCAATGAGGCTGAGGCCAAAGGTCATCAGCTTCTCAATACTGTCTTATATCTGTCTTCCTGTTACTGTTGATTCTTCGTTCAGACTGCATAAATGCAACAGGGATGTAGGAGCGCACACTTCCTCAGGATGACAAGGTTTGAGTCTCTCTGAGCAAGCGTGCTCGTAAGTCTGCCTCTAAACCACATGCCCAAGACAGAACTCCGGATTCCAGCGGTTCTCCTTCCACATGCCTCTGATGAGCAGAGATGACTAACCCGCACTTTTTTGCAGGACTTTCCCGAAGAACTGCGTCTCCTGCTCAACCGCGCCATCGCCGAAATTGCTGTACGCATCCGCAAGGCCAACCTGGTCAACCTGCTAACCCGCGACCTGGTTAACCTGTTCGGCCACCACCTTGAGCTCTACCGCCGGGCACGCGACCACGTCGGACGCGATGTTTTGGACAGACTCAGTGCGTCCGAACAGGACGAGCGCCTTCGCCAAGCGATGCTGCGCTTGGGGGCGTTGCATGTGGCCTTAACCTCGGCTCCCGCAGAGTACCGTGTGCTGCGGAGACTCATGGGGGGCGTGGTGACGTCAGCCCTGAGGTCGGACGAGGTGCAATGCAGGCTCGTGCGCGTGATAGCGAGAGAGATCCTGGCGAGTGCGGTCATGCGGCCGCTCATGAGCCTATTCACCCCGGCACTGATCAACGACTTGATCTTGTCAAGCATTCCGGACCCGAAAAAGCCGGCGAAGGAGGGCGAAACGGCGCCCCCCGAGAGCGAGGCGAGCAGCCGAAGGCCGAGCGGGGTACACGAGGAAGGAGGGGTGGCGGAACACAAGCCTGTCCCCCCTCCTGCGCCCTCGTTCGGCGCAGAGGACTTGGCAAAGTTTGAGAAGCGAAAGACGGCACTGGCGGCAGAGCACTGGGATCAGATGTGGGTGGGGGCGAAAGGAAAGCGGCAGCGCGCACTGGCGGAAGAACGAGAACGGCGCGCAAGGGAAGCTGCGGCGCTGGGGGGGGTGACGTCGAGTGCAGGGGAGGGGGTCGGGGAGAGGGGGTCGAAGTGGGGGGACATGAGCCCCCTGGCGAGCAGCACGACTAGTTTGAATACTTTCGAGGGGGAGGAAGCGTCCCCCCCCGGGAGAGCCGAGTCAGTTCCGGGCGTGGTTTCGGATCTTCTCTTGGACTCGCAAAGCCCCAGCGAGCCTGTCGTGCCCGGCATCGGTTGGGAATCGGACGGCTGGGAGGATCCTGTTTCTACTCCGACGGCCCCGGGTGCGACAGCAGGAGTCGCAGCAAGTGCGCCGGAGCTTGGTGGCGTGACCCGCGCGTTGGAAGTTAGAGTTTCTAGTGAGCTGGGCGCAGCCTCTAGCCGGTTGCCGAAAAAGGAAACGACAGATAGATCTAGTGCTCGGAAGTCGGTCGGGCTAGCAAAACTAGATGCCAATTGGATGGGGCTTGATGCGCCCCACCGAGAGGGGACCGCAAGTGCCCCGAAAACGCCTCTGCTATCCACACGGAGTGAGGGGGTGGTTTTTGCAGCCAACCTGCCCCCCCTCTCGACCCGCAGCGAGAACGGGGACCGCACATGGGAGAAGAGGGGGGCAAGCAGCAGCTGGAACGAGGCCTTGGAGGACCCCCCCGCCAGGCGCCACCGGCGGAGCCTTAGCGGGGGGTTCGAGAGCCTTGCAACCGACGAAGCGTGGGGTGACGTCGACGCTGACGTCAGCAAGGCGCGCCGGCGCGGCAGCTTCGAGGAACCCCCACGGGGGGGGTTGCTGAGGAGGACGTCGAGCGAGCGGCTGTGGGAGGTCGCGGGGGAGAGTGCGCCGGTGTCGCCGGACGCAAGCGGTGTGCTACCGGCAGGGGGGTGGAACCGGGTTCTGGGGAGGGTGGTCGGGGCCAAAATGGAGGAGAGCGGGGGGAAGGCGTTTGCGGTGTATACGATTGCGGTGGCTGACTCGGACAGGAGCTCATGGCTGGTCCAACGAAGGTGCGAACATCGTACTTTTTGCATCGAAGTTCCTGGTACAGTCCTTTGTGAAAATGATGTCACAAAAGGTTGTGCTCGCAGGGAGCTTTCTTATCTTCAAGCATCCGTGACAGCGTCGTGTTTTCTCAGTCAGTGTCCTCGAGCATCACGCTTCTCGAACATTTTCGGCGATCGAGTGCCGACTTGAAGTCCTAGACCCAACCCGAGTTGCCGCATGTAAAGAACTCTTTCGTCGTCCTTTCTGAAGGTATCTCTTGAGCGCCAAATGTCGTCGTCGAAACTCACGCAGTTCTTTGAGGGCGGTGGCTCCACCCGCCCGCTCATTTTCCAATAAATTCATTGCAACACGAATGTTTCTTCATCTCCGCACGGATAGCGGGTGCTCCTGTTTTCCTAGATATTACAACTCTCGTCTTGCTTCAACCCTGCATGACAGCGGGTGTTTCTTTCTTCCTAGGTACCGCAATTTCGAGGCGCTGCACCGGCGCCTGAAGGACCTGCCCCAGTACAAGCTGAAGCTGCCCCCCAAGCGCTTCCTAGGGCCCAATCTAGACGGCAGCTTCGTCCTGGAGCGCCGCGCGCAGCTCGACAAGTACCTGCAGGACCTGCTGGCCGTACCCAGCGTCGCTGAGAGCCACGAAGTGTGGGACTTTCTGAGCGCAGACTCACACGTGAGTTCGTAGATCTTCTATGGGTCCCAAAACCTTTGGTGGATCATTCAGTTGAGAATTATGTACAGTATCTTACTCACGTCAGCGATGAACGCATGAAGGGCCTGATTGATTTTCAGTATGATGTCAGTTTCAGGCAGTGAAGCCGGATCAATTGAGTGTTGCAACTCGTGCATGCTTCGACCTATTCCTCTTATCCCCTGCTACCAATTGTGGTCTGCTTTGACGTCCTTGGCACATGCTGCTCTCCGGTTCTCTGTGCGTTCTATATATTTAGGCACTCCTGAGCCAATATATCCACCAGTTCTCACAGTGATTCAAATTTGCAGGCATACGGCTACGGGCACTCGTCCTCCATGATCAAGACGCTCGCAGGCAACGTGGACGACGTGGTCGACACGATGTTCCGCCGGCTTAACGAAGTTTCGGACGAGTTACAGGGCGCGCTAACCAAGGGGTTGAAGAAAGCGCCCACGTTAAACGACACGCTCTCGAAGCAGAAAACGCTGCCAAAGCAGCCGGGCCTCGTCGAAGTCGCGATGGCGGACCAGGCTTACCGGGGGGGCGGGGTAGATGACGCCTTTGTGGAGGTGCGGGAGTTCGATGACGGCGCAGGGGGGTACAATAGGCAGGCGGCCAAGGGGGGAGGTTCGGGAAGGGCGGCAAACAGGGACGGGTTGCTTAGCGTTCAGCCCGACACGCCTGCTTCCGAGGGAGGGGGGACGCGCGACGGGCTAAGATCGCAATCGAGCGTTGACAGCGGCTTTTCGGTCGATTCCGCACAACCACGGCGGGGGGATGCCCCCGGAAAGAATGTCCGCAGGGACGCGCCGACGATCGTGGAAGAGCGGGAGGGATCGGCCTCAGCCACGGGGGAGGAGTCGGAGGATGACGAGGAGGGGATCCCCCTGCCGCAGGAGTGGCACGCGAGCAAGCTGAGCGGGCCGCTGCTGAATCTGGTGGACAACGTGTTCAAGCTGCAGCAGTACGGCTGGCTGAGAAGACAGGTGAGGCGGACGTCAAAACCGCTGACGTCATAACGTAAGGTTGACAATACGGGGGATATAGGCGAGTGTCAGACGCGTTGTTCCCTTTGTACAAGCCAAGGTCGGAGGCGTTAAGGTTGCGCCGTAATTGGGGCTTACTGATTTAGAGTGAAGTTGAGGCTACGTGGCTAATATTTATCCTTAAGATTTTTTCGAGAAGAAATCCGCTGGAAGAAGCTACATACAAATTTTGGGATAGTGTCCTCTATTTCGTTCTGCCTCGCCTACTGCCTGTTTAAGTTTGAGCAACATTGAATCCTTTGTAGGAACACTGTCCCTAATCTGCAAGCACTACAGCTTCGAAGAAAACGATTAAATGGCTTCGGATTTGGTGACTGCTGCCCTAAGTTTCAAGTTGCAAAGCACGAATCTCTGAACTTCGTACCTGGATCCTCACTTTCTTTGCGGTGTCTCCCCTGTATTAAAACAAATATTTAATGCACCTGATTGGCTCAACGCTCTGCCTCCGCAGGTGGTTTGGATGGCGCGCCAGATTCTTGAGATTGGCCTGGGTGACGCCATCGATGACTTCATCCTGACCCAGATCCAGTGGATCCGTCAGCCCGAGGTCGTCGCCGCAGCGGTGGACGGCGTCCGGAGCCTCCTCTGGCCCAGCGGAATCTGGTTCGCCAACCAACCGGAATCTGCCACGTGGCAGCAGCCGCCAGTCAAAAAGCCCACGGATGCACGGCAGCCCGAGGTCGTGCGGCCTGCAAAAGCTGCCGCAGAGCACGTAAGGGCGGCTGCGAAAGAAAGCGATCCGTCGCGGCATGTACATAAGGGGGCGGGGAACGGGCGCGCGGATGCGGGCGGGGTGAAGACACCAAGTGTAAATAGCGAGGGGGAGATCGAGTGGGATTGGCACCCCCGCCGGCCGCAGCTGAGCTTCGAGGAACGGCTGGAGGCGGCGCGGAAGGCCGCGCTGGTTCGAGAGATCTTCTTAGGTGAGGCAGCGGATCCGACGTCTTTCTTGATCTGCCTCTAGTCTAGGTGGGCAGCCGAATGTTATGCTGAATATCTGTAAGTACTCGTCTTGCTTTTGTCCCATGACCCGTGCCGATTGGTGAAGGCGTTGTGAAGGTGCAAGAAAGACGGTTTCAAAAGCGGTGCCGTTAAGATGCGCCTGGAGCAGGGAACTGAACGGTGATACGAAAGCGTGTAAGCACTATACGACGACATTTGTGAAGCCCCGGGCCAAAGCGGCTGGGTGCATGATCAGTATTGCCATGTGAAAGCTTTAGGGGCACTTAACCGGATTTCCCCCATCGAAGAGCGGTCTTGGTTTGGTTTCGTTTATTTATGAAATGTCCTCACAGAAGTTCATCTCGGTGTCTTTCGGTGTTCATTGAGTACGTCCGTTTGTCGACCGTTTCTTCTTCCCTGAACACCAAGTGTTCAGGCACACACTTGCCAAAACGGAGCATACAGAGTATCTGCTCCATGCAGGCTTCGTGTCTCAATTTCCTGTCTAATTAACGGCTGCATGCGATCTTTGTGCAGACCGGGCCCCCGCTGCCCTTGTCAGCCTCATAGGGTCCAAACAGTACAAGAAATGCGCTCGGGACGTGTACAACTTCATCCAGGTAGGCAGAAGATTCACCTGAAGCAGGAGGTGGTTGCTTAATCAGGACCTCAGTCGGGACCGAAATCAGGACCTCCCAGTCCGGCGATGAGTGGAAGAACGTTGCACGTGCTGCCCTTTGCAGTTTCCACTTAATGTGGTGTTAGCAGCCTTCCTGAAACCTAAAAAGGTCCCTTGCAGGATGTGGTTGGTTAATCTTGCATGACGACTTTGGAGTGTACAGTGTCCGCTTCGAGCCGCAGGACTTCAACGTTTTCTTGGGACGTTTCCTTGTGGATTCGAGCTTGGATGATTCAGTAACTACTCTTGTTACTCTGTTGGCTTCGTGCTCTATGTCTTGCATAAGATTGTCTCTGCTTGACGCCTCAACTGTTAACTGTTAGCTTCTAAATCCTTCTTTTTGCTATGCAGTCTCCAATCTGCGTGAAGCAACTGGCTTACGGCGTGTTGGAGCTCCTCATTGAGGCCACATTTCCGGAGTTACAAGCCTTGGTCCAAGACGTTAGGACGAACGGAGCCTCAAGATGAAGTCAAAGGTTGCAAGCTTCCTGGGCCCGAGTACACTCTCAGTAAGCTTGCTAAGTTAGACACGAAAGAATATATTTAGTGTTTTGGTAATCTGGTAACTGTCGCTTTCGAATTGTTTCGGCGCTATTGCATACCATTACTGTAGATTTAATGTGCTCGCTACAATAGTGAATTATACTTACTCAGCTAGAAAATTATTGCTCGAACCGGAGTTTCCTGTTAGACTGGTGTGGCATACGTCCAATGCCGCTTAAATATCGGCTAGTTCGATGGTCAATTTCAATCCGAGCATTGCCTTAAAGTCGTGAAAGCTTGAAGCCTAAGCTGATGCGGTCGCAACCGATGATTATGAAAGTTCAGCAGGAGCAGGCTTATCTACCAGGCTACGCAGATGATGGCGGTTGCTCAGCCAACCGCATCACTTGCGCCCAATGACCAGATATAGTGCTGCAGCGCGGGGCACTATATAGGGTGCATTGATGAACGAAAGCCCCGCGCCATCTTTTGAGCTCGCACAGCTTTCAAAGCTGCGCGCAGCAGCAGGCCAAAGTTGCTTGCTGTACATTCACAATACCGGGCAGCTTCGAGAAGATGTCAAAGGACCTGAGAGTATAGGTGGTACTACGGTACTGGGGTCGGTAAGAGAAGGCCCGTCTTGTGCACGAACAGAGCGATTGATGCACGATGGTTGCTGCTCTCCGGCTAGTCCGGCTAGTCCGGCTAGCTAGGTAGTACTTAGGTAGTACCGGCTAGTAGTACCGGTAGGTCCTAGGTCCTAGATCCTATCCTCCACAATTTAACTTCCAAGGCACCGCGACGTTTCGATCAAGTTCATGACGCGACGATTCAAGTTTCCCGGGAGTCTTGGACCACCCTCCTGAGGACTCAAGTTGGGGCCCGGATAAAGAAGCCCGAGATCCGGTGGGCTGTACCGGTCGACTAATCCAGGACTCTTCAGCTACCGGTGTCAACCTACCGATGACTTCTGTCGGACCGGAGGGGAGAATGTGACCTGTGAGAGACCGGGTACTTGCACCACGTGGTAGCGTATGTGAAACACAGCTGAGTGCTCAGTGCATCATGATGCCATGGCATTGGAAGCGCGTCAATTTGCGAAGCTAGAACTCGGAACTTGGAAGCAATGGCGGCCGCTTTCAGAAGTGACAGCCGCTTGGGTCCTGAGGCTGATTAAGCTTACACTTCTGCGAAAGCAAGGATGTCAACACCGTTGGCTGTGCCCACATCCTTTGTGCATTGTTTAAGGACAGAACTGCAACAGAAATGTAGCAACTGAGCAACTGAGGTAGAGGCGACGGGACCTGTTGTAACCTTGGAGCACACAAATCTACTCGCTTCGTATCATTCAGCAAGCCCTTTGTATGTACCTTTGCAAAAAGCATTTGGTTAGCTCTGAAAATTGAAAATCTTCAAAAAGCGTTAAAGAACAACTTGGGATAAACGCATTTGACAGTATGGTTGGAATTGGAAACTCCAGGGTTGCAGCATCCTGCTAGCCAGGACAGCAATGGCGGCCGCTGCTCTCCGGGCAGCGGTGAGGCAGCTGTTTCAGCCGCACATCAAGCTGCAAACCTCGGCTGGCAATGCGGTCTTCCTTAACCCCGCCCTCGTCAACCCAAGCTCCAGAGCTGCCGGGACGGCCAGGGCTGGGAACCTAGAAACCCTAAACCCTCTGCTGCCGAGGCTCGCATCCCTGCAGAATGGGGCCTCTGCAAAGCTAGGTTTGGCTGGGGCTGCAACCCCAGGGCACCAGTCCCTTGGGATTGCGAGGTTAGCTCGGGTTATGCTTAACTACTTTGGTGTGGGGGCAACTGCGTGGGCCGTGGGTAACGAGCTTACAGGGGGAGCAAGGACTGCTTATGCCAGGTGAGGGGGGGTAGCTTATCAATGCGCCAACCCGTACGTTGTATTGTTGGAGAGACCCACAATGCAATGGGTGCATTGCTCACCCATTGCATCGAGAAACAAATATATCTTGCTGTCACCTCCACTTGTTAGAGTGAGCATAACAAAGATGGCCAGTAATGGAGCTGAAAGATCCCAGCCCAGCTTGAGAGTTTTCGCTGTCATTGGCGTTTGAGCACCCTTGGTTGCTGTGCAATGTTTTGAGGGCCTTATTCTTAATGTTTAGTTGCTTCTTGGATATTTGAGGCTCCCCCGCGGAGCATGGAAGCAGTCAAATACCAAACCCTGATTTTGTTCAGAAGAACCAGTTATCCACATTTTTTTGTGACAGTATTAAGCTCCAAGAATCCCAGCCTTTGTGCTGGAGTCCTTTGACAAAGGGCTCCGCCTGTTTCTTCATTTTTCATTTTATGCGCAGCTTGAAAGGGCTTTTATCTTTTTAAGAAGGGAGATGAATCAGGGCATTTCACGACTTTGATTGCTGATTAGGACCGTTGTAGTTTCCCAAGGGCCAAGGAAGGTCATGGTTCTTCGCTTGCATTGTTTGACTATTTGCGAAGATGCATAATGCAGCATAGGGTTGAGCACACATGGTCTCCCTCTTGGTTTCATGGTGAGCTGTAAGTGCTGCTCTATCTAGCAGAGAGCAGCACTTATTGCATTTCAAGATCATACTGGCAAGTCATTCAGCTCTCGCTTCTGCAAAGAGGGTTTACCTGCAGTGTTCACTTGGTGCTTCACTCCTCTAGCAAACTTTCTGTTGAGGTCTGACCTTGTGTTCACATTATCCTTGTGCAGTGCACCAAAGCGGCACGCCCCATTGGCTGACCCCATCCCAAACCGCCCCGCTTGGCAGTCCCGCTCGGGGCCCTTCTTCCCGTCCATCCTCACAAGCTCATCCCCTTCCAAAGAGATCCAGCGCCCTCCCAGCCCCGACGCCTCCAAGGCCCCCCTACGCGAGCTCTTTGACCCAAAGCCTACGTCCTTTGAGCGCGCCACCTCGCCAGTCTTGTCATCAGCATACGACCCCAACTGGGCGCGCGCTCGGTCCCCGCCCCTAGTTGGGCTCTCCGGAGTTTGGACTGGTCCGGAAGGAGCAGGATTGCTGAAGCCTTCCCCTGTTCTCGGGGGGATTTTGGAGCCAAACGGAGCCCAGAAAGCAGCAGAGAAGGACCCACCGAACGCTGCAAAGGGTTTGAGGATCAGCGCACCGGCGCCCAACTCGCCGAGCGCGGGCCTCGGTCTGCTTATGGAGGAGCCGGCGCCATCTGCTATGGCGCCCAACATTGGGTGGGAGCTTGTAACTTCGGGGGTTAGCTGGAAGGGTGCTTCGCCAGTTGCGGGCGAGGTGGTGCCAGCTGTCAAAGACTCCGCACCAGTTGCTGGGGGATCCCCCAGGATTGGACAGGCTGGAGATCTAGCGGGCAGCACAGGCTGGAGTCTGGTTCTTGTGGGGGACGCCTCTGAAGCCACAGGAGACAGTGAAGCAGCCAAAAAGAGCAGCGGGACCGAGGAGGTGCAAAAGGAGGGGAGTGAGGAGGGTGCGAGTTACCACTTGGGCAGTCTGGGAAGCCGACAGGTGGCAGCACAAGAGCGCGGACAGGTGGCAGCCCGTGAGTGGTCCGAGTATGGAGGGGCTTCTCCAAATAGCACCGAAGGGGTTTCGAACATGCAGGACGCAGGTCTCAGTGCTAGCTCCTCTGTGACCGGAATAGTAAGGGGCATTGCCTGGGAAGGGGCACTGGACGATTCGGAGGGAGGCTCAAGCATTAGTTTTTCTGCAGCAACGGGCTGCAGCACAGTTGGGCATGAGACAGTGCCCCTGAACACTGCGGAGAGTGCGCACACCAAAGAGGAGCCTGAGGCCAGTTCACGGGGGTTGCCAGTTTACTCCTTCAGCCAGTCACCAGTCCGGTCACCAGCTTGCACTCCTGCTTCTGAAGCGGGAGGGATCCCTCTGCCCGCAGCAGCGCCCAAAACACCGCCCACCGAACTGCCCGCTCAAACCCTGCGATATGCGTCCAATGCAAACACCCTCTTGGCATCTGCTGAAAAGCCTGGGGATATGCCTGTACAGAGCTTAGAAAAGGAGCGCGTCAAGATCGGAGAAGCTTTCGAAGGGGGTGCTGCTGAGAGTGGAGTGCCATTGGTTGAGGCTTCCCCTACTGAGAGTGGGTCTCTGCAAAGGAGAGTTTCTGCCCCTATCCGGATTCAACAAGGAAAGCCCGGGGGGCACGCATTCGCTGCGTCGGCACCAGCAGATAGAGCACGGCAGCCATCCAGGTAAGCTTTGAAGAAGACTCTTTTTGACTTATTCGCTGCTCTGGAAGCTACCAAATCTGTGCCTACAAGTTGTAGTTGGCCAGAGTAGGACGTCCTGAAGCATTGGGGTTTGAGCACCCTATTGACTTTCTAATGATCGTCAGGGAATTCATATTTGTGTCAAAGGTTGCTTAACGGCAAGGACATTGTTGAGCACAACCAAATGCAGTCGCTGATTGCTTTTGGTGCCCTTACTCCCCTTTGCTGCTACATATCAACTCTTTCGAAAGCTAGCTCTGTAAACGTGCCGCGTTAAACACAGACGTTCATTTTGTGAGCACCTGTAAAGGGGGCGCACTTGCAGTCAGCATATCTCCCTCCGCCTGGCATTGACACCAATGGCCATGCTCCTGCAGAGCTGACGTCAGCACCCGCGTCGATGAGGTGCGTTTGCTGGGCGAGGCGCTGTGCCACTCGCAGACCCGCGCGCGCAGGGCGGAGGAGGCTGAGGCGTCGAAGGCGGCAGAAAACATCCGCCTGAAAGAGCTGCTGCTCTTTGAGGTACGACTGACAAGTCTGCGATCTGTTCATTGAAGTTTGAGCTTTCATCGGTCTCTTTGGTGGGCGGCTTTCATACAAGGTGCTCTTTGTTGTCCTTGAGCCTCAAACGTCTGACAGCTGTCAGGGTGCATACGGGCTGCCACATTGATGCAGCAGATTCTTGCACAGCACTTAGTCCAACTTCGTCTGCAACGTTTGTGTCCAACAGGCCTGGCAGATCTCAGTCGCTTTCAGAAGGAGTCCTCTGCAATTTCAATGAACAGGTTTCAGAAGATGCATCCGTGTCGAAGTTACGGTGGAAACTAAATTAGCATCCTAAGATTCTCCTTGGGTTGCCTCAAGCCACTGCACATCTTTTGTGATCGTATTTCCGGCTTTGCAAATACAATCTGGCCCAGCGCTTCGTCCCGCGGACGATTCTCTCTCAATTGCTATCGCCCTTTCCAAGCCTGCCTTTCGCAAAGGTTATCCGGTGGGCATGAACCCCAGTTTTGGATTGTGGTTCCTATGTCGCGTTTGGGCTTGCAATAAGGAGTTTTAAGCTGATTGTGAGCGTCCACTTGCAGGCAATGCAGAAGAACGCGTGGCAATTTTGTCTGGCCGTCGAGACGGCCGACGCGAGCCTGCTCCCAGTCGCATTCAGCCACGTGGCGACCAACGAACGTCTGTCTGCTGCACGGAACAGCGACCCGGTTGGGGTTCCAGAACTTGTACACAGCTTTTGTGATTCCACGGACGGAGATCAGAATTCAAACGCAGATTCGGCCGGCAGCTCGAAGGAGATTGATCTTGTAGACTGCATCGTAGGCATCGCTTTTGGGGTGGCCATTGGAGTGGTTTGTTTCGGTCACTTGGGGGGTATTGGGTGGCTCTGCGTGCGGGTGGGGTTCATGTGTGGCAATACGGACTGGTAAGAGTCGCGAGCTAAAACGCGCGAGTAGATAGGCGGGCACAGTTACGCGGGTCGCTTTGTAGATGGCTGTACCATAGCCGCACGGAAAAGAGGGGGGCTGGCTGGAGATCTTGCCGTAGGTGAAGGGCGTAGTAGTCGGTATGAATCGACGTGGTAGAGGTTGTTTCGGAACCGTCTAGCAGATTCACTGTGTATAGCAGACAGCTAATAGAGTTGGAGGGGTCTTCGTCGAGTTGCAGAGGGTCCCAGCCCCGAGTTTAGTCCGGGCCTGCCAAAATAGAGAGTCTCCACCAGAGTGTGTCAGATCAGGGCCCGTTCCGGAGTCAGTAGACAGTTTCGTCGGACTTTCACCGTAGCTTTGCACGTTTCTGTTTTAGCTACTTCGACCTTCGGAAATTGACGGTTCTTGATGGCTCGGCGGTTAGAAGCAGCGAAGTGTCTTTTAACCAGAGTTTTGGGACAATTCATTGGTCGCATTGCCAGAATGTCAAGGCAGTGTCATTCTTGAGATGGATGCATCATATAGTCATATTGCTGGGGCCGCCTCCGAAACATTTTCGACAAGCGTCCAAGCGTGAGTCGCATTGTAAGTGATCCAGCCGCTCAAGTGGCGGACTTCATGTGTCTATGCTGCACATCACTATGTTTCATGCGCATTGGAAATCGTTAGTAGTCTAAAGATTCTAACTGAAGTTGTGACTCCAATCCTGTTACAATTCGTGTCTGTAATTGCACACACAAGTTATCCACGCACCTGGCCACTACCAGGGTAGCAACAAAGAAGGCCTTCGAGATCGCAGCGGCTGGTGGGTACGCAGAATCTGGTAGAATCAAAAACTTTAGGCTGATTGGAAGTTCACGAACTTCAGTAGCCTCACTTAATGAAACCCATTATCATCACGGATCTTGATCTAGGATCGGACGTCTCAATGTTCTCCTGCAAACGCCTCCTGGGCCATATATGCTGATCCCACTGGGGCTGAATGCACCTATCATAGGATATTCGAAGGTGTGTGATGTTTCCTATCCAAATCATACGCCGTAGCCAAGTGGACCGCATGCTTCTCATGCATGGCACACAGATGTTTTCAAGTGGCAAGTTTGCGAAGACTATGATTACTTAGCACGCCAAGACTAAGATTTTGCACTACCCTAGGGCCTACATCATTCAATGGGCAAGTGTGTTAACCAGTGTGTCACCTCATCTTTTTGGACCGTCCGATGTGGATTGCAAGCTTATCCTGCGGTTGTAACCTATGAGCTCGACTGGATCGACACGTAAGGCAATCGACGGTGAGAAATGCCGCGAAAGTACGCAACCATGACCAATCAGATCTGCCCAAGTGGGGTTACGCAATCATCCTGGATCAAGCACGTTACGTACGCAACCACCCCAGCTCGCCAGCTCAGCTGCAGCTTCTGCTTCTGGAAAGCGGGGGATGTTACCATCCGGAGGAGGAGAAGCTGCTGCATTGTTGAAGCGCCAGCACCTGCCAGCATTGCTCTCATTTCGAACTTCAACGAGTCAGAGATCCTTTGCTTTCTCAGCCAGATGGCCGCCTTCTCTCAGAGATGGTCCTTTGGGGGCTTCTCCTTATTTCCTGCGAAGCCCTCTCCGCCCGCAGCTCTGCAAATGGGCTCCCTTTTAGAGGAGCCCTTCCCACTCAGGCGGCCTCTCGAGTCTGCTTTCTCTCTAGGCAGGACCATCAGCACTTCCACAGAAGGCATGGACATTGAATTTGACGCAGTCCTGCTGGACGTTGCCAGCTATTCTGAGGCGCCCCTTGTTCGCTTCCAAGAGAGAGGCCCCGTTGCTGACAAGGGCGAGGTTATGGAGTGGTTGGAGGCTGCGGTGTTTGGCGAGGACGAGGATTTCGGGGCCCTCCTGGTGGAGCCCCTGCGGGCCAGGGTCGCGTTGGGGCCAATCTATGACGAGATTTTTGGCAATGCTGAAAGTGGGGGCGGGCTGCCAGCTATGGGGAGCCCAGCAAACGGAGTCAGCTCTGAGGGGCAAGTAAGGGCGGAGAATGAGCTCTCTGGTGGGCACTTTCACAACGCTGCAGAAAGCCTCCTTTCTAGGGAGGGATTCGCCGTCAGTAGCTGGGCAAGGGAAGAGGTCAGCATTGCGGACGCAGACGCCCTGGAGACCATCCTCGATGTCATTCAGAATGTTCTTGAGGAGACCGCCGAGACTGCAGATGAGCTGGGTGTAACTAGAGGCCCTGTCACGAGGAGGGGACCTCCCTCAGCTGGCGACTCGTGGGCTGCGGTTGTGGGCACCTTGGAAAACAGGGCCCCAATCCTGGGCTCTAGGAAAGCGCCGCAAGCAGTGCAGGGTCACCCAAGAGGAGGCCCTGTTTTGGACCTCGTCCTGATGGACGCGCAGCCTGGCAAGGGGTTTCAAAGGAAGAAGGCGGGCCGGCAGGGCCCTGCGATTGAGGCCTTTCAAGAATGGGGCCCGGTGAAAGAGGAGCGGAATCCGAGGCTGAGGGCAGGCAAGTGGAAGAGCCACGCGCGGCGGAAGGGCAGCCCCCCGCCCCGCAGAATGGGCAACTTTGGCACCGGCAAGTTTTGCAGCATATGCTCCCCCGCGCTGAGCAACAGGCTGCACAAGAAGGTCGACGCGCGGCGGGAGTGCAAGGCTGGGGACCTAATCCCGGGGTAGTTGTGACTGCACGGTTTAGTATGGTGGGCTGGCGGGTTAGCTAAGTAATGTAATACATTGGAATAAAGGCGGAGAAGCTGGAGAGATTTTGAAGGTTAGCGGATATTTCCGGGCCGTATTTCCGGTCTGTGGGGGTGGAAATATTTGGAGCAAAGCAGGCTGGGTTTCAATATGAAACCATAATGAGGCAAAGGTGGGAACAGCGCTGCTCCTATAAATTGCAAACTGACTGCGCGTCACATTGAACATTGGCTGCATGGTTCTTCGAAAGCTTATTATTTCAAGAGGACAAGCTGGTGTGTGGCCTGGCTGAGGGGCCTGAGTATACTGCTAGCACGAACTGGAGATGGGAAGGGACTTAACAACAGATTAGAGCTCTATTCTCAAAGTGCATGAGGCACCGGCATGATCAGCAACCGACTGGTTCTTTAAACAATGTGTATGGGCTGATGTGGTTTCGTAACCGTTGGTTAAACAACCGCTGCTAGTTAGACAACCACTGCTAGTCAGCACCCTAAAGGACACACCGGCTTGTTTGTACAAAATAGCAACATTATTTAGAAGGGGACCGTCTTGCCGACTGGTAAGGCACTCCATTAGATTGATCTATGTTCAACTAGTCACAAACAATCTTGATTGATTCAGAGGTGTTGGGTATGTCTTTGAACGGCCCGGCATGCTACAAAAGCCAGCAATTGAATGCGTCTCCAGATCCAAAACTTCATAATCTATGAGATAATAGTGCTATATTGCCCAATGTCGCCACGTCACTTTTTTAATGCCCGCGCGAGTGAACCCATGTGCAACAAATTACATGAATGTATGATGTTTAGCCCGTGTCATTCATAGTGTCAGACATTAGCTAGACAGCGGGCCTGGGCCAGCAGGCTGCTTGTTTCATACATGCACATTGCAATGGTTCAGATCTCATGGCCGGCTCTAGGTGTCGGGCGCGCTAACTTTAGTAGGATGGGCAGCATGATCCAATGTTTTTGTTCGGCTTGCAGACTCATGAACTGAGTTAATTATGAAGGGATTATGAACCATGTGCACATGAACACTGGCCGGTGCAGAGCTATAGCTAGGCCCACATCCCCGCAATGATATGTTGCTTCTGGCCGGGCCTTAATTGGCATATTGGAACATTGCTCGAAGTTGAAGAGATCAGCAACGTATGATATGTGCAACTTCAAGAATGCGGAAAAGTAATCTTACGACAGAAAAGTGCGTACCAACGTGAGTCTACGAAGATCTCGCAGGACAGCGTGGAAGTGGAAGAAGAGCTCGAGGGGTTTTGGAGACCTCGCAGATACAGCATTGGTACGAACTTAGCATGGGCGCTGTGCACAGCATCAAGTGAGAAAGTGAACCTGTCAACGTGCTTTCCGCTTGGTGAATATTCCACGCAGCATACATATGCATTTCCTTGTTTGTAACACCACGATCGTGTGTTGTTACGATCGTGAATGACCCTAGGAGGCTTCTTTCAGAATCACGAACTTGATGAAGCATGATTTTATCTGTTGCATGATTGAGAGGACTTGGATGCTGCTCCTACGGTATTTGTCCATTGTGGCAAACTTGAAATGCGTAGTCAGGCCAGCTGGGGCTTACAAGCCTGGCCGTCGATGAATTTGACGCTGCCATAAAGGGTCGAAGACAGCGCAGAAAATGGAGCTTTGGATGCTCGTAGCCGTCCGATGAGCCTCGGAGAGTAGGGTTTCGTTTGCACCTCTTGCTGTAGAATTTTGGCCAAACCTAGTTGTACTGAAAATGAAGAAAGGTACATACCATTGAACCATTTACCAGCCACGCCCGCTTTGAGCACGGTACCGCCGGTACAAACTTCATGCACACGCAGCAACTTGAAAGTAGCAGGTGCAGGGAAGTCCGAAGCTGGAAAAGAGATTGGTTGAACATGCACAGAAAAGTGGTCAACAGGAGCGCGAAAGAATGCCCTTTTCGATTGCTCGTCTTTTGCGAGAAGAGCTGGTGTTCTGAACACCCAAAACAAGCAAAGCCGAGTAACCTCAGCGCTGCGTCCCATGCTGTGGAGTGTTATGCCTGTTGGTAACCTCGTGGGATGCAAAGGAGGTCTGTAATAAAGTGTTCCAGCCCCTCGAAGGATGACCAGTAGAGAGGCTGCAGCCTGCAATGCCAGTGCGGTCAATCTGACCCGTCTCAATTCCAGCCAGATTCTGTCCCGCACTCCTGGGACCATTACCAACAGTGGGCATCACAGAGTACCGTCCGGTAATATGCTCTCGGAGTTTCGGGCTGCCCGTAGGAATGTAGCCCAGGCTAGCAGATTGCTGGGGGAAATTCTGGGAAGGGGCTCCAGGTGTTCTGCCTGCGAGGGTGCAATCAGCGTGGGGAATGTCAGGAGTGTGCAGGCACTTGGGGCTGACGATAGGGAGGTTTGTACTGCCCCCTCCAGGAGCTTTTCTTCGTGGGTTCTGAACCGGGGGGAGAGTCTTGGGGCCCGGTTTCAGAGGGACGTGGCAGCCTGGGCCCGCAAGGGCAATGCACAGAGCGCCGGTCACGAGCGGTTAGATTCTGGCGCGGTTTCCGAAGTGTCAGTTGCAGGCAGGGGTGATGGGGGGGGAGAAGAACGGGCGGCGTCTTCTTCTGCAGCGGGCAGCAATGCAGCTGAAGCGGCCTCTGGAAGTGGTGAATTGGAACAGGGGGAGCAAGCTGCACGGGAAGAAAGTGCGGAAGGCGTCTCGTCAGAAGCAGAAGCACTCAGTGCTGAAGTGTCGGGCGAAGATGGTCTCGGGGGCAGTTTGGTTGACCAAACCAAAGCAGAGGAGTTAGGAGAAAGTAGTGCCTTGGGCGTGGCGGATGAATCGGATGCCGGTGGTACCTTAGACGAAGCAAGCTCGTCAGAGAGCTCGCTGTCAGATGTAAGTAGCTCTAGCATAGAATTAGGAGATAGTGCGGCAGAGTCAAAACGGCGGGGGTCTCCAAACGGCAGGAGAACCAGAACAGGCAAAAGTGCAACCGATTCCTCATCAAGTCGGGGTAAGCCGATGAAACTTGGAACTGAAAATAAGAAAGACGTGGGCACTGAGGCTCCAAAGAGCAAGGTTTACAAGGAGACGGGCCGGCGGCCAATTGCCCCGGCAGTGAGGATGGTGTCTGAAGAGACGAGAAGGAAAGAGGAGATGAAGGGGCTGCCAGCTACGGACCTGCTCACGGTGAAGGGGATCGGGCCGAAGACTGTGGGGAACTTCATTGAGAAAGGGATCACAAGCGTGAAGCACCTGGAGGACTTGTACAAGGAGAAGGTAGGCGAATTGGAGTCTTCATACTGATCTTGCGATTTCCTTCAATTGTTTCAGCTCAAAGATATTCCCTGGGAAAGTCTGGCAGTTGTCCTGCAAAGCCAATTGGGGGACGGCTTCTGTTTCTCCCTCGGCATGCATCCAAAGATGCAGTATTTCAATCGATGAGAAAGTGTGGGATCCCGGGACTTTCTTCCAACGGTTCCTTCTCTCCTGAAGTGCACTATGGTCCCCATTTCGCTGAAGCTGCAGTTTGGTCGAAGATTTCGCAATTGACTTGGGAGTGGTTTGGATCTCTGGCTTTCGTTCTGCACAGATCGGAGAAGACTTAAAACCGTACTTTTCTCCACTTTGCGCTAAAGTACACGATTGTGTTTTCTGCCGTGTTCTTTCACAAGGTAGACAAGATGACCTGATCGAATGCAAGCACTGAAAATGGAAGCCAAGGTTTCATCAATTGTGTGTGGTTGTGTTGCCCATTGTGACTCTCCAACCAGTAAGGCAGACAATCTGTGTGGCGGTCATGCAGCCGCATACACAAGGGTATCTGCTGTCCACTGAGTGCTTTTGATGTTCCCTAATAAGTTCTGGGTCAAGTGTGGGGAACGAAGCTGCTAGATTCGACAAACATATTTTGCACCGGCATTTACTGGAGAAGCTTTGCCAATATCTTGCTGACAGGCCCCTCGTTGCTTTCGGCAGTTCTACAAAAAGTCGGAGGGCATGGTTGCTTTCCTCCAGACGAACATTGGCGTGAAGCAGCAGATGTGGGCCCGCAAAATCGTGGAGCACGTCGAGGAGCAGATTCAGAAACAAGACTCAGCGACGGACGAGACCGCAGGCGCGGAGAACACGCGCAAGAAGCCGCTCACATTCTGCGTGGAGGGCAACATTAGCGTGGGCAAATCGACGTTCCTGCGCCAGATTGTCACAAAGACCATCTTGCTGCAGGTGGGTTGGCGCATTTTTCCTGTGTCACTCATCGGGGCTCGTTTTTGACGAGCCCAACTTGCCTTGTGCCTTACATTCTCAAATCGACTTAGCTTTGCTAGTGTCTGCATTCCAAACAGTGTTCCCTGTGGAGACATCGTTAGTGCCAGCTGTTGCGGAAGGGTTCCTTTGGATGTATCAAAGCCCTTCCATTAGGCCTTTCTGCTCACCAGGCTTACCGCATACGCTTAAGAGGGCGACGGCAACTGGAATGTCTTCGGCAAACCCCAAAATGTCGGAGACTTGGGTATGTCAATTGACCAGAGATTACAGGCTTGATGTTCCTAACAACTATCTTAGGGACTTTCGGGATGCTAGCAGGTCTACTGTCCGAAATCTCTATCTGACCTGCTTCGTTGAGACCGATTTCCGGTTTGTTCGAGTTTTGTTTTGGCCTCACTTGAGCTTGACTTTAATCCTGGGTCGATCCACCTTAATTTCGACCTAGTTTCTTTTCTTACCCTCTCTTCGTGTCTTTCAAACTCTGCTTAGTCCGCTTAGTCTGACCCGGAAACTTTCTACTCAACTCTTTGCCTGATAAGGCGGTCCCACATGAACATTTTCGGGGTGCACCGTCCTTCAGGGACCGAAAATTGGCGATGTCGTCCCCCAGAATTCGACTCGATATTCTGAGGGACGGTACGCCCCTCAGGGACGCCGGTAAATACCAAGGGACGGTTGGCGGTCACTCCTTGGACAGTTCACCTCGCCCTAAAATATGGGAAGCTTTAACTCTTGACGCGACGCAGTTCTCAGGGGAACATGACCAAAGCCGATTCTCGGGGAGCATGCGCTCCCTCGGGGAACACTCGCCACTTCCCCGAGAACTCATATGTGACCGCCCTATGACCAATTCAGGAGCTGGTAGACATCTCCCCTGAGCCGGTGGAGAAGTGGCAGTCGGTGGGCGACGACCGGCACAACATCCTGGAGTCGTTCTACAAAGACCCCCAGCGCTACGCCTACACCTTCCAGAACTATGTCTTCTTCACGCGCATGCTCCAGGTGGGTCTCAAATTCGCAGATTGCATGAAGTCGCCGTTTTCAGGTTCCTCGAGCTCGATGAGAACAGGGATTCTGGTTGTTCAGACCACTTGACAATCAGGAGCTCGCCACTTGCATCTGATCGCTTGTGAGGTTTTGAATGATATCTCAGGGCGCCGTCATTCGTGTATCGCGTACGAACTTCGTCCGATTGGAATCGCTGGCGTCTTCAGGTGCTGCATGCTAATGACGCTCGGTTGAGCTTCCTTGATCTCCCGTTTTTGGTTGCGGACCTGAACTCCCGTTTCGATTTTACCGGGCCTCATGATTTTACCGGCCTCATGTATTTACGCTGACGCCAATCCTGTGGAGCGTGAACGCTGGACACGTGTCGTCTTTCCGTGCAGGCGCAGGAGCGACCGGTCGCTGGGAAGCCGCTGCGGCTGATGGAGCGCAGCGTGTTCAGCGACCGCATGGTGTTTGTGCGCGCGGTGCACGAGGCCAAGTTCATGAGCGACATGGAGATCTCCATCTACGACTCCTGGTTCGACCCCATCGTAAGCACGCGCGATTTGGAACCGCTGATATCCTTCTGTCCTTCCCTGCTGTCCCTTGATTCTCAAAGCAAAGTACTAAGAGACTTCGTAATTCGTCGTGGGCTCTCGCCTTATGTGAGGTGTCCAATCTTGGTCTTTTCTGGACCAAGCGGGCGTTTGTATCGATGCTGAGGCTCTCGGGCGTCTACCTTCTGGCAAAGCATTACTTTGGACATGCTTCTCGTCTCCACTGAGTCGTTTAATTCAATGACAGAGCCTGAGTGGAAAATCTCTGTCTCCAGCTCTCTGCCATCCCCACGCTGATCCCCGACGGCTTCATCTATCTGCGTGCGAATCCGGATACGTGCTTCAACCGGCTCAAGAAGCGCGGACGGTCCGAGGAGATGAGCGTTGACATGGACTACTTGCAGGTCTGTGCGCGGATTCGATTCAAACGGTTTCGCTTCTTCAATTCGTTTCTCCTTTTCCCTTTCAAGTCGTTCTCCAATATGATGTTTAGGGACCTTCGTTAGCTTACGATGGCCGTGACCTAGCATGGCAAGGTGGCCTGTCAAGCGCATTGAATGCACGCGGACACTGTACAATGATAGCTTGGAAATAGTGGGCTCTAAAGGTCATGACGGGGTCTTGAAAAGTAGGGTTTTGACGCCCGCTATCTTGACAATCAGTCTCGCGAGACTTCGTAAGAAGTCAACAACTTTTCTTGGGGTTCTGAAGTGTCCACGACGTCCGTTTTTAATAGACAACCGAAGTAGTGCTATTTTCTTGAGAGGGAAAGGGTTTTGTTCTAGCAATAAACTTTACAGCATCAACCCAATACGACAAGGGTCGACAAACTTGATATAAATTTGCAGCTGATCCTAGGCCTCCAAAGGCCATATGATAAGGACAAGACATGCAGGTTCTGAGTGTGTATGTGGCGCACCTGGACGCGTACTGATCGACGGATCTTTAAAGGCCACAACGCTTCTGAGTGGTCGCCTCGTTCATTAGGACACGTTTCCTCTGACAAGAACCGGAATGCTACTACGTTTTGCAGTGCTGCAGCCGTTGAAAGCACGTAGGAGTTGGCCGTATTTGATTACGTTAAACGGATGGTTTGCTGCGTGACGGAAGGGACCACTGTGACGCTACCTCAATGAGAGAAGTTTGAAGCAAGCCAGCTTGTTCACGGCCCTCTTCTTGTCCCCCGCAGAACCTGCACGAGAAGCACGAGCAGTGGCTCCTCCCCGACGTGGCCAAGTCGAGCGCGGGCCACACTCTCCTGCGCGGTGCTCACCCGGAAGGTTACCCGGAGGCGATTCGCAACGACGTTTACTCGCTCGTCAACCGCAACGTGCACCCGCTGATTCAGGGCCTGCCTGCTCTAGTTCTTGACTGCGATCCGGACATGGACATCGAGCATGACCAAGCGAAGAAGGAAGAGTACGCCGACAAGCTCAAGACGTTCTACGAGTATATTCAGGAGAACCCGCCCGCGACGGCGGGCGCCGGCCAGCACGTGATCAAGCCGCACCCGGGCGGTCTAATCTTCCCCCCGAGTCCCGAAGAGATGGCCAAGGAGTATCGGAACTGGTCGCCGGAACAAAAGCGGGCGTATGCGTGACAGGGACGTGAATTGTGGCTTCTGCGCTCTGAGTGTGAATGCGGCAACCTGTGGGGCAAGAGAAGGGGAGAGCTGACTCGTTGAAGGCTTTTGTAGAACTGTACAGTTGAGAGAATATAATTAGAGTTACTGTACTTACGGGTGATTTAGCAAGGTTACTTGGCAGTCCGCTGGTCCTAACCTACCAACCCACCGAATACTTGATGGGGGTAATGCGCTCCACAAATTTGTACTCCTCGAGGCAGTCAATGGGAGTTCGAGCAGGGTCGAATGACCGACTTTGTGGAGCTTCAAAAGTTTGAGGACTAGACGTCAATCGGTTGACACGGGAGCTATCCCCTGCAGCGTGTCTTCTTGCTGTCAACATTTACTTCGTTGAAAATGTGCCCTGTTTACTGTCACTGTTGTCCGTTGTAGTTGCAGTTCCAAATCGCTCCATGACTTTTCCCAATCTGAAAGCAATGCGCGGCTGATACTGCAAATAAATTTAAACTGTCGCGTTTCTGGATCGCATCATACAGTGGGCAACTTGCCAGTCTAGTTCCGAGTAAGAAACAAATCGTTCATGGGTTAGATTGAACCACTAAAATAAACCCCAAATTAATTAAGTGCCCACCGCCCCCCCATCGCCAATGTCCCATGTGCCCACCGCCAACCTTGGATGGTTTCTTTCGGTATAGCCCACTGAGGGCAAAGTAAAAGTGTACATTTGTGATCTTGTGATGGACGGATTTATATACGGATTCCCACCTAACGATCAAGCGTTCAACTCCTAGCAATACTAGCAGCAGCATCAATACATGAGATTATCTATCAACTTTGCATCTTCGCATCCTAATTAGATCGAAAGCCCCTCGATCGCCTGACATTGATTCCGATCTTAGTCGTGAGTTGATAGAGAAGCAGACATCTCCAAAAACAATCACACAACAATTGTATGCCATGAGAGGCCTATGGCCGCACTGGCTACGCGGCGTTACGAAAAAAGACCATCTTTCGTAAATAGCAGATGGGAGAATGGCACTTGGCGGTCAGTATACGGAATCTTAGCAGCTATGGTGTCAAGTCTCGACAGCGTGAGAAGACCGAGCTAGGAGCCTGACCAATCACCTAGTGGCAAACGTGAAGTCTGCTCACTGAGTCTCTGAGAATTCTCAGTCTCTTTTCAGCATGCTTGTTATATGACTTCTTATTCACATTCCTCCTTGATCTCCACATTGTTGTCACAGTTGACATCATCCTCATATTTCGAAAGGTACTGCTGAAGCTTCCGGTTAGCACTGGATACGCCTGGCAGGCGTTCAACAAGTTATGCCGGCTATATGCGGTTAGTAAGATGATGATAGCTCGAGTTACCCTGCATCCGCGAGTGTAGCGCGCATATAGCAGTTCTGCCTTAACGCTCCGGTTATGTAGTCTGGATATCCCTATGAATCAGCGGCCGCGGCAAATGGCGACAAAGGAGGCCAAGGTGTACGTCAAACCCGGCCCGTCCTCACAATCGTACGCATTTTGACCGGACTCAATTAAGTAGAAAAGAAGATCTGAATTCAACAATTGCAATTGAAAACATGGCAAGTCCGACCGGACATATGCAGTGCAGATCGGCGTTGCTCAGTACATCACAGTGACCCACTGAGGCTACTACCGTGCTGTGATGCTTTGGCACTCTCATACGACTTTGAGTTGGCTTGGTCAATGCTTGTTGTGTTACATGCTATTGTTATCTGTTATTACTATAGCGGATTGTTATCGCTAAATGTCAAATCCTTGAGATCCGACGCAAGGCGATCATGCAAAAATCAAACCACTGTTGATCTCCTGTTGCAGTGCTGAGCTGCATACCTTCATCTGGTAAGTTCGTTAATCAGAAGGCTTGCAGTCTAGAATTTGTAACGGCTAAGACGTTCTATATTCCCTCAAAGTCCGACATGCGTTCCGATGTTGGTTGTCGAGTGATCGAGCGGCAAGTCGGTGTTTCAGGATTGAAATAACGAAATTCTACTCCCATTTTGAATCCATGGCAGAAATTCTACTCCCAATCTGCCGGAAAGTCTATGAGCTAGATAAAGAGAAGCCTAAGTTTCTACCTTTGATCACTTCAATCTGCATAAAAGCTAGCTCTGCCAGCAGCCACCATGGGGCGAAGCAACACGGATGAGAGCTGGCGGCACAGCTCCATCGGAGCTTCATACGATATGCACTACTACGTGCTCGCAACTTGACGTTTTACCCACTTTTGAGCTGCTAATCGATCACACAACGTTCATAAAGTTGTTGTACTCTAATAAGAGTCTAAGAGCTCGTTTCACACAAACTTGCATTGATTCCACATTGTAATTTACTCAGTTCCGACTCTTAATCTACTTACAGCCGGAGTCCACAACGGGTCCACAACGTCCTCTTTCGGAAAACAAACACAACATGAGCTTACGACATTATATGAAATGCTGAAATACACCGCTTGTCAAAAGCTATCGTTAGGCTCGAACGTACACATTGATGGCAGGGCTCCGGTCTAGATTGTCAGCGGTCGTGTGCTTGGAGATATCCACCTCGCTTCCGTCTCTGCACATTGCACGTGACGCATTTTAGGCCCAAACAGCAGAAAGTCCGATGGAATTTAGAGTGACGAAAATGGGAACTGGTGCATGAACAGACTTCGAGTATGCCCAAACGAAACCGAAAGCTGTTGCTTCCCTGAGTCCCACCGATTCTCAAAGTACGTCAATGTGTTATATAGAGGTGCACGCTAGGCCGAAATACCTGGAAACGCATCCTACCACTCCTGCCAAGGACTCAGAGACTGTTGCCCAGATCTTGGAAGTTCTCGCTCACGAGCTACGAAAGAGAAAGAAGCTACGTTAGAGTGCGTCATTCGGTGACCCCAAAGAGGCGACAAGTGGCCCGTGAAACGACTAGCATTAATCAGACAAACTTACTCGTCCAGGAAAGTCCACCGGAGCCTGGCCGTGAGGACGCTCTCGCCGGCCACGTCCGGCTCCGCTAAAGCCTGCCGCGCCTGCGTCTTCAGTTCAAAGATGCTTTCGGACCGGGGGACTTGGACCACGTACGAAGGTGAACCTAGTTTTCCTGTCTCGTGATACTTCACCTGTCGAAAGGGCCACGGGAAAGCTTTGGTTGATTGACGGACACAAAGGCGGAATGAGTAATTCATCGCTCCCTTTCGAGCAGCCAAGCTGCACATGGTAATACGAGGACCTCTTAAGAAAGCCTGGAGCCGTTTCATGCTGAGCGAGCCTCTCCCTCTGCCGCTCAAAGCTGACACAGACGGTCATAACCTCTTGTAGATAATCTGCATGAGGGGACCGGACAGGAGCAAACCGGAACATTCTTTCAACCGACAGTCCATCCAACCAGTCTACACGCGTTTTAACGTGCTTCTCATTGACAGCCCATTCGCTTTGCCAAGTATGCTTCCTTTCAAGTGGCGAGCTGACAGCCAATGTTGCCAACAAAGCCGTCTGGGCCTTCCCTTTAGACTAGCGCGGACGGCTGGCCGCTTACCTTAAGTAGTTTCGGTCGACCGCCGGGCGTGCTGACGTGGGCACCGGGCTCTGTCCTTGGCGCCTTGGCTCCTGCTGACGGCGTGTTGACAAAGTCTCCGTGATCAGCTACCACTGGTGCCGCAGTACGTCTAGAAGTTGTGTTGACGTCACCTGCAGGCCCTGCAGCCAGCGCCTTGCCACTTCGAGACGGCGTGCTGACGTGGCTTGCCGGCTCTGCTTTTGGCGATTGCAGACTGTGGGCATGAGCCGCCGTCCGGGCAGGCGGATGACTGACGTCATCAGTGTCTGAGTCCGGGAACTCGATGGGCTCGGCCTGGGATTGGCCTGGGACGTTAGGGCTGACGATTGCAAGGCCGCGGGCCGCTTTCTGCAAAAGACAAGGTATGTCAGATGCTTAGATTGGAACGCGTATACTCCTACATTCCCTAATAAGACACGACCCTTCGACCAAAGCCAGCATCCAGTATAGGACACGCTCTGGTCTCCGCACCAGCGCTGGTCTGTTTGATAGTACACCAATGGAAGCCGAGTCTGCTTCACATAGATGCGGACCTTGGGCCTTGGACTCTAATCTATCTGAATGAAGCGCATTCGAGATCCCGGGCATGTCTGCAAGTTCGTCACAAAGTTGCAAAGTCGCTGCGGAAGCGGTTTGATTCAAAACCGGCTGCAGAAATACTGAGTGCAGAATGGATTTGATCACTCGGATCATCCTTAACATGGACGACAGAAGCAAAACCAAGAACGGACCCTCAGAATTGACTCTCGACAACCCGTCCTTGTCAATTCGTCGCAGAAGGGAGTCGGCAGAAGACGCAGTCTGGACGAACGGACAATCGAGGAACCATGATACCGCAACCACCCAGGGGCGTGAACGCTAGTATCACATCTCTGATTTCGGACTCTGTAGCAAACGACGCTTCGAGTGCAGATTACCCTCCGCAATCAGACTTTGCGAACCTGGACATATGACCACTGAAGAGAGCTGCGTCGCCGTCGCTCCTGTAGGCTTCGTGAGAAACAAACTTCTTAAGAAAGTCAAACGCTAAAAACGATAATTTGAACAGCAAAAAGCCGGCTCACCAGGCCTTCTTCTTGAAGCAACAGATCCACGTTGCCGAACCAGGACGCCTCGCGGTAGTGCGCGTGCTTCTCGCCCAGCTTGTCGCCCGGCTCCAGCTGGATGGTTGAAAAACTGTCCGACTTGAGCGCGCCGCGCGCGGGGGCGAGCGAGCGATGCAGAGCCCACTGCACACAGTGTCAAGTGTCACGCGCAAGCAGCATCCAGGTGAAACTTCACGCTCGATTCAGTTGTTGAAACGAATCAAAAATGCTGGTCATGATGCGAAGAAGGGCTTCTATCCCTTGCACATCCAGCAGCAGTAGCAGATCACAGCCTTTATAAGTCGCAGTGGTCGAAAGTTGAGAGGAAGCACAGGATCGACCGCACAACAAGCTCGGAGGAAGCGCCGTTATTTTCTGACGTTCCAAGGCAAAACCCTGAACTCCAGCAACCTGTTGGTCAACCACGATCAGCAGCTGCAATGGTCCTACCTTTGAGTCTTGCTTGACCGGGGTCGTCTCCCCATAGCGCCCCTTTTTAGAGGCACCAGCGGTATCCTCTTTCTGATGATTCCTCTGATCTGCAGTCCTCTCTTTTCTCTTTGCAGGCCCGCTTCTTCCATTGGTCGCCCTCTTCCGTTTCGCCGCCTTCTTTCTGCCGTGCGCCCTCCTTGCTTTTTGATTTAGCTCCTCTTCGAAATCCGGGTCGCTATCCTTGTCCTCATCGGAAGATTCTTCGTGAGAAGAGAGGTCGCTAAGATCAATTTCGGCTTGCTTGATTGTAAAGATGGTCTCGCATACTACGCCCGTTTCCGTTCTCAATTCCTCTTCCCAATTTCTGCAAGCTTCCTTCACTTTGGGCCGTTCCTTGAACTCGAACCTTGCGCCCTCGACAGACGTGCTAGAGGCTGTCGTCTCGTACAGGCAGGCCACGACTGGAGACTTGTCCGTGGCTCGCGCTGCTAGATGCCACCTGCAGAATTCAAAAGATAATTCAGTGTGAGGAAGTATGACTATCTAACCAAATGGCGCTGTCAGGAGAGCGAAAGCTGTAAGCTAGTCTTACTAACCCTTGGATCCTTACAAAGTTAGAGAGATGGCGCACAGAATGCGTGCAACGCCCCACATCGTTTGTGACACAGAACACAGCAATTTTGAGAATCTGTTGCTCCAGGCCCACCATTTTGATGGAGTCTGAGACACCAGCTTGGATTCTGGCACTACAGACATGCTGCAGTCTCAAAGAAAAAGTGCCTTTCTGACAGCTGTCATCGCAAGGGTTGACAGCTGTTCCCATCAAGCCCACAGAAAGAACCCTGGCATCAGGATAGCCGAGAATCCAACCTGGTGATTCTCGACAGCAACATCTATTATCGCAGAACGATTTAGAAAAGCAACCCCTTGACAAGACTTCAAAGAGTTCAACGGCTGAAGTTTTCAAAGACACATGAAGTTATTTCCCTACAGAAAGGCACTCTTCTGAGAATCATAGCACGATCATGCCACCTCAGTAATGGTCAACACAGAGGTCTGCTGAAACTCACCGATCACTTGATGTTGTGGTGCCGTCCACGCTGTTCTCTGTCAGAAATTCTTGGTCCGCCCAGTTGACCGTCACCGCTTGGAACTCCTGCCCGGGCTCCGCCAGAAAGTAGAACCCAGCTTCCACCGGCACCTTCCCCCCATGCACTAAGTAACGAGCTGCCACCCAGAAAGGAAAGCACCACCAAATGTCCTTGTTTGCCAGCTCCAGAGTCATTCTTTTGATTATCACACAGGAGTTTCCTGAGCTTTTGGCCATTTTGAGCTCCACTGTCCCAGTTTCAGAGTCGACACGCATCACCACTCCTTGCAAGCAAGAGGGCCTGCGGCCAATGTCTGATGCTTCGTACAGAGGGACCCTTCACTGAAGAGGACGCACGTGCCCATTGAGCTGCACAACAGATGTTCTTGGCCGCCCAAACTAGTTCCCTCGCTGTCCCCTGTGTAAATGCTGATAGCGCGGCTGCCCACATCAGATTTCTTTGTACCTGCTTCATTTGTGCCCGCATTTTGAGTGCCCATATTGCCCAGATTGCATGGGACAATGAGATCTTGGTGGGCAGACAGCCACTCTCCGCCACGCACAAAGATGGGTGTATCAATGTTGTCAAGGGGAGAAAGGCAGTCGGGCAATTCCCCTTTCTTCTGCCATTGCCGCGCCTCGTAGCCCAGAGCTCTTGCGGTGAGCCACAGCCTGGGCCAGAAGTGGTTGAATGCATGGGGCCCAGTTGTCAGCTTCCTTGCAGGATTTGCCATCTCGAAATTTCAGGCTTTTCAGACCCTTGGCCACCCTACAAGCTGGCCCACATCGGGACTGAAAGCGACAGCGTCAATGTAACTTGATTCTCTGCACCATTGGTTGTGCTCTCCCCAGCAGCGCAACTGAGGGACAGCATTGTCGACAATTTCCGCCAATGCAGCGCCACGAAATGGTCACCTGCTAAGCCTAAGCAATCCGGAGACAGACATGCCCTCGCAATGCTGATCAACAGTTACAAGAAGAACATGCTCTGGAACAAGCTGCGGCTGGGCATCATGATCAGCATTGTCAACAGGAGGTCAACAGCATCCTTCCATTTGGCATTCCTTTCTTCGATCTCGAAAAGCTTCAAAGTTCGACCATTGGCATTGGAAAGGCACTTCCCCGGTGGTTGTACACCCCCGGGGCTTCTCCCAGCTGCCGTCTATTGGGACGGCGATTCCCCACGTCGACGGCGCATTACCGTGATATGTCCCTAGACTTGGTTTTAGAGGGATAGGCACCTATTTTGCTCGGGGAACTGGCAGCCAGTGTCAATGGGCCAGTGGCGTCTTTTCTGTCTCACACGCAGCGCTGCTGTTGATCACTGAATAGCTGGCTCCGGGTGCCCAGCCCGGTCTTACCCCAGCATTAAAAAAAATAATGAATTTATCTGCTGCAAATTGCAATGCAGCAAATGGCGAGATTGTGGTCAGCTGGCTGGAGCATTGCCATTAATGTCAGCTGGAAATGCCGCATCTTTGTTTGTCAATATGGCAGCAAAACATCACTCTCTGCTGGGGTCCTCTCCTTGCAGCAGGTTTCAAAGGGACCTCTGTCGTTCAGAGGAAGCTGTTCAGCGCTTGCCAAGCTGCTTAAGCTTGTCCCAGGCCTTAGAGAATCGAAGTAACCTGCTGATACCAAAACCATGTCAGCATTCTGCTGCCGCCAGCTTCAAACAGCTCAAGAATGGCCCCTGCGTACTCAAAAAATGGCCTAATGGAAACTTTCATCAAGTGCTGTTGCGAAAACTTTGTAAAAGGAGGTTCAAAGTTACAACCGCGAGGGCCGGGGGGGATGAAGACCGGCCACCGTCAAGTAGCGACGACGAGCTTGCGAGCCAGTTTGCTAGGTTTGTCAATGAATCAATGCAGGTAAGCAAGCGAGGGCAATTGACTGCCGGTGTAATGGTGCGAGATGCTCTGCAAGCACGTGTGCCCGTCAGTTTGTTCCTATGCCACAAGCACTCATCATGTACAACAATCTGAAATTGTTTCATGCTGTGAAGGACGCATCTACTTTTGGCTTCCGATTCACTGCTGTGCTGTTAAAGCAATGGCGATCAGATGTGCCACCCTCGAACAGTTGGGCGTTGTGCATTGGAATCTGCCCGCGGAAAGAACACTTTGAACTGTGCCCTTAACGACCTGTTATCTGCTGCAAATGAGGAGCGCTATGTTACCCACATTATTCTCACTTGAGTAATAGGAACAATTGTAACCATGCCCACTCGCCTTTGCCGCGTCACTGGGCAGCTTCTCTGGCTCAAATTGCCTAGCTCAGGACAGCTGCAACCCTCTGCTCTAAGTTTTGTCAACCTGGGACCGTGCAGGCTGTTGCATCACCAGTCCGGAGGCCCACTGCTCTTCTGCCGCCCACCGCAGTCATCCGCGCCCAGATGGAAGCTCTCCAGCGGAACGACTATCCAGAAGTGAACGCCGGCATCAAGGTTGCTTTCGACTTTGCAAAGCCCCAGGGGGTGGAAGAGTTTACGATGGGAAAGGTGGGCAGCTCTCCGTCTTGTCGTGATCGATGTCTTTGCAATCTCCTCTTGAATACGACCTGAAGACGCCAGAAGTCTTCTAGCCCGGACACAAGCCCGATAGGACCAGACCACCGCACAAAGTCACTCCAACTCGCGTCCCGTTAGTCCTCTTGGTCTACCTTGCTCGCAACTCGCTCAATCATGCCATCGAAGTCTGCCCAAATGGTAGAAACAAGACACCTCTAAAACGCTGGTCGGATATCCCCATCATGAATCCTTTCACAAGTTGTGTCATGAGTGTTTGCTTTTCCATGTAGGGGCAGCCCGTGGTGAAGGCGTGCCGGACCTGGGAGGCCAGCGAGCGCTACCTGAGTATGGACGGCTTTGAGCTGATGCTAAGACAGCCCATGTACAGCGCACTAATAAACTGCACCAGCTGGGAGGTAGGTGAACGTCAATCTCAATTTGAAGTCGTCCCTCTTGAACTCCTTTGATCTCCCACAGAACAATCATCTTGCTGGCCGCCCGTTTGCTTTCCCGACTATTTCTCTCATCATTCTTTGACTTCTGTGGTGAGAGGTGAAAGATAGAGAAAAACTGCGCCTTTGTGGGTGTGATTTGCAGAGAACTGCTCCCGACACATTGCAACAAGTCAAGACTCCAAATCCATGGTTGTGAGAGGCCACAGTTAAATGTGTGCGAACGATGGGGAGGCAATCTCCCTTTTCATTTTGTTCCTATGGAATGTTGGCCTTTGATACAGGTAGCACGAGACTTTGGTTCTGGACACAAAAGTCCTGAAACACTGTAAACAGCCACTAATAGCCGAAGCTCTCAGTCCAAAGACCTTGCTTGCCTTCGGGGACCAGATATCGTTGGCTTCAATCTATTGAACGTTGCAACAGATTATCTTCTTAGCATAAGAACGACGGGAGCTGTTCATTCGTTTGCGAGGCGCTTTACAACCACAAACTCAACATTCCGGACGCTGTCGGACGACTGTTGTTTGATGTGGAAACGAATGCGTGTCCGGGAGCTTCATCTTTCGACGACATTCTGCAGAAAAAACCCGGTGTTGTATGCAAAAATTGGCTAGATTTGCTTGGACCTCTGTAATCCCTTGATCTCCCAACAGTTGCTCTGGGGGATCGTAGAATCCCTTACACACAGGTTGGCGTCGCCCAAGAGAAGCTGGGCCGTTTGCCTCCTCAAAATGACCGGAGGCAGAACACGGTCATTGATCCAGAGCTTCTACTCTTGGTGCAGATCAGCTCTGCTCTAAAGTTCCATGGCCGAGGCGATAACCGGGCAGTGCAAGCAGTCAAAGTGACGGCGCCAGTGGAGGCCGCGGGGAAAGAACCGAGCGCGAGAACGTACTCCTACACCTTCTGTATGGAACGGGTGAGCAACGATGCCTCAGAGCTGACGCGAAGCGTGGTTTATTCTTTCGAAAACGGAAAACTAAATTGCTCTGCTATACCCTATCGAAGGAGAGGGAAGCTCACTTCTGTAGGCAGGGACGAGCGTGAGCAGAAGGAAACGGGTTGCTTTATGAGGTCTGTTTCCTGCAAGCAAGGTCTTCACTCCATGTTGATAACTAATGTGAGTTCCATCCGCGGGATTGGCAGCAAGAGTAGGGGCATAAATGGCTCGAAGTAAGAAAGAGCTGCCAGCCGTGTGTCAGCGGGATAGAACAAGGTTGCGAGGGTGCGCGTCATCCTTTCTGTAACTCGTGGAACACCGCTGAAGTATACCACGAATCGGGCGCATTAAGTCGACAGTCTCACCATTGGATTGCTGTTGCGAACCTTCAAAGGGAGGCGATCGAGAGTAATATTCTCGCCCCAGATCACTGGTCAATACTAGGCCCGCTGGTAATCCGGTCAGCCCTGATCTTGTTTATTAATGCTCGTGTTCCCTACAACGGTTCCGACAGCATTTGGAGCTTGTCAACCCCAGTCAAGACTCTCCCATGGAGTGTGGGGGGAAGGCCTCATAGCATCTGTCACTCAAGGTAGCGTCGAAGACATTCCAACCAGAGTCGATAACACATGTTAAGCTTCGTTGTCCTCTCCTCTCCTTGCAGATAGAAACGGGCGCATACAAGGGCTGCTGGCTAACGGTGGGCCTACGGCTGGGGGACTACACCGTCGAACCTCCAAACGAGTCACGAGAAGTGACGTGACCGACACCTTTCGTTTTCGATTCAGGATGAAGCTGCTTTTGCGCGCTGTCTGTATTATCAAAGCTGCCCAATCATGCAGTCGGACCTCCCTCTGCGTCGTCGCCCAGCGCTTGAGTTTACCGGGTGGCCAGGCACTGACTTGCCCCAATTGTCTGTCATTACCGACGGGGCTGCACAGCCGAGGGTGGATAAACACACATGCTAATCTGGTCCGGGCACCCGGCCACTCATTGTGTCTGCTGCCGCCAGAGCTGTCATATAGGGCAAATGATCGTCGCTTCTTCACCGTGGCACTGTGACAATACACTCAGAGCGCCACATGGCTGCATATGGATGGCCGGCATGCTTGCACCGGTCGTTTTCTTTCTTGCATCTACGAGCGTCCGCAGGCGGCCTACTACTTTGCAAAGCGCATGTGCCTCATTGTGTAAAGCTAGTCGATCGGTCGAGTCTGCATTGGGCAGATGCGGTGATGGCTGCCGCATATATGGCGGCCATTCCTACGGACGTGCAATTAAGTGGCCCAGCTCCATGTAGACTTATTTTGAAGGCCACTCGTGCAGCTACATAGGCGGCGGCCGATGATAACCATTTGCGATCAGCGATTGCGATCGTTGTGACCACTGCGCGCCACAGCTTAATCGCTGACGAAAGCCGCAGTTTCGGCGGCAGGGCGAATGTGTGGGCATGCGCATCGACATGGTGAAAGCTGCCGGTGCGCTCGGCGTCAGACACCGCGTGCCGCACAGCTACCTGCACGTATGTCACAGGTTACGTAGTCTTCATGATCGAAAACTCTGAAATACTTTGATCGTGACAATGGCGGGACGAGAGGACTGCAACCGACCGGAGGCGCCACCGAAGCGGTTCCTTGAAGCGAGGTTGGCAGTAGCGCATCTGCACTTAACGAGGGCATCATTGTTGACAACCACAAGCCATGCCGTCACTCTACGCGCCCGAATCCCGCTTGCAATCAACCAGTATTTGCCACTGGCATCAAAGGGCCTGCTGAAATCAAAAGTAAGCATAATGTACAAAGGCAGGATGAAAGAGTGGCTCTGTGCTACTGCTGCATCACATCGTGTCCCCTGTCCCCTTCTAATTGCATCATGTCGTCTGCCCGCACGACGTCCGACTCCACTTTTTGCTGCGGCGCTTCCTCCTCCTTGTCCTGGTCGAAGTTGATCGGAAATTTCGTGACCCTGGGCTTGTCTGCCAGGATCACCCGTTGCAGCTTGTCTAGTTGTACTCTGGCAGGCGGCTCTTCTCGTAGCTCCTCGTCAATGTACTCGTTGTTTACGTAGTAGCCTACTCTAATGAACTCCTGACCCCGATATGAGCATGTGAGCAGCAGGACAGTGACCCCCACGATGTCGCCCTCTGGAATCTTCGACGGATCAGGAGGATCGGCCTGTAAAGTAAATCGATATTAAAAAGACGACAAAGGTCGTGCACCAAAATCTTCGCAATGGGGCATATAAGACAGGGGTGGCTTGACCCCCAAGACGAGATTCCATATCAGAGTGCACGGCAGTGCCTTTGCAGAGACCCAACTTTAGAGGACGACACAAAAAGAATTGTTGATTGAGCCGTGATAGCAAATTTGGGAGGCTGTATCAAGGGCCCCACGCAAACCACAGATTAATTCATTAATCTCAATTAATCCCATAGCTATCAGTGGGCTGTATAAAAGTCGAATCAGGAGGGGTTTGTTATGCGACTCTGTCTTAAGGATAAACCAACTGCGACCATAAAGCATGGTTCCCTGTATCTCGAAAGAATGGTCACAACTGTATCTTACTGAACTCTTCCCCACAACAATCCCTCGACATCAATGACCAGCATGCCACCTCAGAAACAGGCCAGCTTACTTCAAAAGAGTTGATCCAACTTGGCATTTCAACTTGGCATGCCCTTGTACGTGCAAAGTTGATCAGGAAATAGTTGCATTTAGAAACTCAAAGCATTTCTGCCACGCTTTGACGGAAATTCTGGCTGAGACCGTTTACTTGCAGATCTGTTGAAAAGTGCATTTCATACGAGCACACGGAGAAACTCACCTGGAAGACAAAGCGAAAGCTCCCCATATTCACGGGCCCCACGAGCACACTTTCCAGCGTCTGATCGTACTTTTCGTCCTCGGCAGACCCCACGTACACCAGCTTCCACTCCAGGTCTGCAGATAGTCACATTCAGCGGCACTTGAGAAGCAGATTCTACAACAACCAGACAGAACCTTTGCATAGTGCTGGTGAAAAGACAATAGAAGCCGTAAAGCTTCTGATGTGCAAGAATGATTTATCCCAGCGGTTAACGCTCTTGAGAAATGTACATGCTCCATATATTCAGCCAGGCACAAATGAGAAAATGGAAACACGCAGATGAGAGCACCCCAGAAGGTAAAACCACTGTCGTGTATCAAGGAAGTTCTGGCTTTGAAAGCCTAAGTCGCACAGCCTTTGCGAGCATTGATTTGGTTTCCCATCTTTCCAATAGATGGCTCCTTTTCAAGCAAGCACGTCTCAAGAGGACACGGAAAATAACTCTGTCAAATAATAATCATGGCAGCTAACATGGTTCTTATGGCGTGCAAGTACCTAGTTTAATCTGGTTAAACCACACCAGATGAACTGAAAGATAACCAACCATGGCTTGGTTTGAGATCAAGAACACAAACAAACAGGTCCAAAACTTCTTCCAGCAAGTCGTTTCAACAAAATGAACCTTTTGTCTGGCACGGTCGAGCCTCCAAGTCAATGAACCTTCGTTAGCAACATGCCGCAGGCTTGTCTAACTTTAATTTCAGACAACCTACTTCTCCACAACCTCGAACCTGGTGTAGCAGTCAGTATGGATTAGCCCTATAGGCTGCTTGTGCTCTGAAAGCACCGAAGAGTTCTACTGAGCAAAATGCTGCCAAAGCTTTCACCCATTGGTCTTCTACTGAAGGGGAATAAGCAGACCAGTTGCGATAAGTTATAGCTTGAAACAAAAACAGTCTAAGCTCGCGCAGGCAACGAGCTACTCACCATCTTGAAGATTGTGTAGACATTCGTAGGATATCTCAAATTGGAAGGGGTTTGTGAACATGCTTGGGTTGTCGAGCACCACCACACTGGTCACATTGATGGCGCTCATGCTGCTTGATGCACCACCGCTGCGCTACCTGGGGACTGTCTTCTATTGACACCAGTTACAATGTGACTGTCTCACCAAGGGAGGCACAATCCTGCTATAACGCTCCTAGGAAGGGGGTCTGCAATGCAAGCTCTGACGCTCCTGAAGTTGCCAGAATGTAATCCGCCAAATTGACAATCAATCAAAATCAAGACGGTTGCAGGACTTGCGCGAGGTTACTCCTGGGAGATCGTATGCAAAACAATCAAATTGGTGGCGCTGAGTGGCTGCTTGCAGCCTGTCGCCGCGGATGGGGCACCCGTGGAAGCAGCAGCGATTTTCTGCGTGGCAGCCTTTGTTGAGTGGGCAGATTGTACAGCTAATGAGACGCGCAGAACGCTTGCAGAAGCAGGTAGAAATTGTGGCACTAGGGCGATAGAATTTTCTGCTTGTGGGAGCGACTGTGGAATTTCTGACTTTCTGTTGTGGGCTGCGTCTTCTTCTGGTGCTGCCAATGCTGGTCGTACGTCTTCTGAAGTTCTTCCCCCTCCACAGAGTTTGTGCACAGAAATCTGGCGGGAGAGGATTCAAATTTGGGAGTTTTCAGCTACACCTCTTGCAAGTAACGCTCCACGTGTTTGCAGCACAAGCATTACGTTGCAGCTTCGAGCTCGTTTCGCGGTTCCATTTGAAACCCCAAACCCTGGGAGCATTCCAAGGTTCCGTTCCGGTGACGTTCCGGGCGGATGTTGCTTGTAAGCACTGCTAGCGGCGTGCGCGCGTATTTAGTGTTCTGTGGTCTGTACGTTCTGCTTTGCTGCTTTGCTGCTCTGCTGCTTGAGATTGCTCTCTTGTTACAGTAAAATTTTACAACCTGAGGGGCAGCTAGGCAGCAGCATTGTGCCAGCAACAACCCATTTTCGCAACCTCTAAATGTTACATGTCCGTTGCTACATGAGCTGGGAAAAACGTTAATGGAAAGCTCTGGCTCTAGCAAACAATCAAACACTCGTCAAGGATTACGCTTGTCTCCGGCATACACTTTACACACGCGTCTTCAACAACTTGAGGACCCATGTCTCGAGCCGCTGTCAAAAAGCCCTTGCCCCGACTTGCATCTTTCCTCACCACCTTTGGCATCGGCCGCAATGCTGTCGCACTTCACCCTCAGATGGTCGCTCAGGAATTGCAGGTTGCGCCCGTCCTGAATCTAGATGAGGCGGGCCATGCAAAACGCCTCTCAAGCGCCCTTTTCCAGAAGAAACATGGGCCGCTTCTACTCAGAGCCTCCCTCCACAATCAATCCTGGCAAACGGGTACAGAAACATTTGGATCACGGGCAGCGGCATCCGATGAGGCGGCATATCTCAAGCTTAAAAATTATCAGCATTGCATCGGCATAAGCGGGCGGCCTAGCCCCATAACTTACAGTGCAGTAAGACAGCAGCACAGCAATGCTGCCCCGCATGCGAGCGGTGCTTCGACAACGCAGGGGGCCAAAAAGGTGCATGGGGAATCCACCGGTGGTAAACAGGAGAACGGCGGTGGGAAACAGGAGACCAACGGGGGTGGAACTGGGAGAGGCTTCTTTTCCAACCTGCAGGATGTCCCTCTGGTCCCGCTGCTTCTGGGGTTCGCAGGGGCAACCCCTTTCGTCGCTCTTGCGCCACCTGTCGCTCCCCTGCTGCCCCTGCCAGTAAGTCCTTCCGAATCCCGGCCCCCTAGCGTCCCTTCGTGTCGTACATGTTCTCATGCGCCTGATCAAACACGCTCCAAAAAGGACACCTTTTGGTTAGTGGTGTCAATACAAAGTATCCAACCGTCATTACTAAGTGGTGTGTGATTCCTGTTATGGTGGTGGCACGCTTCGAACCTGTCGCAACATGTTCCTGAGGTCGTTGGTTTGAAAAAGAGCAGCTGGTCGACAAAGAGCGCAATGTCGTGTCTGGCCCACTTCTGGGCCCCTTCGCACAATCTTGACGCAGCAGATGAGATTTGGCCGGGAACGAACTACATGCGTGGATCCGTTTCAATATCCGCTGTTCAGGAGGACATGCACAAGCGGCGAGCAGACTGGCAAGCTGCGTATGGAGCGGTGATTGCGTCCTTCCTCGGGGGTGTCCACTGGGGGCTCGCAATGGCGGAGCACGGACACCGGGCCTCCATGGCTAGCTTCTCCATCTCTACGCTCAGGTAACAGCAGGGCGGGAAGCACTCCTGCTTGCATCATAAGTTGTTTTCCTTCGCGGCATCAGAGGAGGATTGCATAGATTCAGGCGGAAGCCAACTTGCTGATAAGGATTTCCTTTCAGTTCGCTGGGTTATACGTCAACTTCATCTCGATTTATACGTCAACTTCATTTCGACATCGCCCTTCATAACTTGGCTACAATAAATTACAGAAGTATGTCGTGGTTATCTTCCCCCTTGATGTAATCATGACCGGCGTCAGGCAATCTGCACATTCAAGTGTGTCAGTTTTCTCGAAGCGAAAATAAAAGTCTGCGGTTCTTTAAGATTTTTGTCAATGAGTAGGGCACACTTGCTTGAAAGCTGGATTCGAAAGCAAGGATCCTGCCACTCTGCTTACTGCCCTTTCTGCTGGTGCCTCGGTGCAGGTACACCTGGGGCGTCATCCCGTCCCTCCTGGCATGGCCCGCTCTCCTTCTTCCCCCGGCCGGGAAGTTCGCTGCTCTGAGCGGAATACTCACCCTGGTGAGGCGTCGTGGCTGGACTTGGCAGCTTGTGGTTCACAGAAGCGACCCATCTTGTTCAAGATCAAGTCTGATTTCCTGTATAGAACGGTCGCTTATAAAACGACTCGGCCGTGATGCGGAAACGGAAACGAAAACGGACTCGACGTTGGATCATAAGCGGCCCTGGAAGCCATGCAACTTCTTGCCTCTCCCGAAAGACAGCGGCAATCAGACTTTTGTGCGCCTACTCTGAAAAGGGTGCTCTACGTCACCCCTTGTAATGCGAGGATGAGGAGATCATCTTGCGCCGGCATCGGTTTTTCGTCTCGTGCACCTGTTGTTCACAACTGTCTTGTTGTTGGACAGTCCTTCCTGGTGGACGCTGGATTCGCGCAGCTCAAGCTACTGCCAAAATGGTGAGATTGAAAACGGACCTCGTTGCTCAGGGCTCTCGGTTGGTCAGCCTCTTTTTATAACACCAGTATGTCCTTTTTCAAAGCCCCACGGCGATGACTGAACTCGTCTGAAGAAAGGGGCGGTTTTCAGGAAGAATAGGGCCTCTCAATGGGCGTTCTGGTATTGAACAGAACGGGGATTGAACGACAATCTGTGGGGAAGAGCTTGGCAATGGAAAATCCGGATCAGAAGATGATTGGTTGGAATGCTATCTGAAAGCTATAAATCCGAGAATACGATCATCAGGAATGAGTCGCCATACTTCCCACTGTTTGGCTTTCGAGAGTGTGAGTGCCAGCCCTTTGAAAGAAACGAATGGTTGTAGGCGTAGCTGATTGGATTGCCTTCTACCAGTGGAAAGCTTTTCGCTTTCTCTTGACAAAGCAGCTGCCTGACCTCTACGTCTGACCTATTTACAGCAATTAGGACACCTCGCGGCTCTCATGCATTGACATCAACCCTCATATCATTAGGAGCTTTACGGAGGGGGCCTATACGCAGGTCATTCGAGAGGAAGATTCTCCCGACTCAATCAGGTTTTTCTGGCGCTTTCAACGAGGAATTGTCTTCTTACTGCGTGCAGGTACATGCCCCTCCGCGTCTCCCTGACGGTGCTGGCTGTGGGCAGTTTGATATCATCGTGGTCGTTAGCGGCCGTCAAGTCAACGTACGACATGGCTCGAAACCCAGTGAAAGTCAAAGAGGAGCGGTCTCCAGAAGTGAAAGTCACGCCAGAAAGCAAAGCGCTCTGAGCTAACAGATGAGAGCAGTTTCGAGAAAAACTCTGGGGACCGTGCTGGCTGCGTTCCTGCTGAGATCATTGCTTGCTTAAAGAAGCTTTGTACATATGCCCAATGGGAAGTTGCCGGGGTGGATTCGGCTAGCAAAGGTGGGCTTGTAACGAAGCGTCGGACATTGATCTCGAGAGTGGAAAGGCTACGAAGGACTGATTGACAGTATATATGATGACGTGACCAGACGGTCAACAGAGAGATCCAACCAGATTGTCGGATCGATTACACGATTTCCCCATACATTGCCAGCTCAGTGGATCCTAACATGTCAAGAAGCTTAGTTGACCAAGGTTGAGTGACAAACTCGTAGATGATTACCGGAACAAACTAGAATATAGAACAACAGGTAATCGCGTCAGGTCCATTCACGCGACTTGGGCGGGATCTACTGGAGCAGGGCGGCCGGTAGTGGGCCGAGTTTAGGGTGTTACATCATGGACTTCGCCTGTATTCGCCTGCATGACAATCTGCCGCGCGCAACCTTTGCTCGTGTTGTATCTTCTCAATATAGTCGCTCTGTGTGGACGGTGCCAGTAATGAGTGTATAAGTACAGGCCCATGGCGCGCCTTTAGTACGATCCTTTCGAACATTGCGAATACGACTACCTACAGCCAGCTAGCCGGCAGTTTCAGATTGCCAGACGGCCGGAGTGACAAGTGCGCGAAGCTTGTTATGTATAAGCACATTAACTATTTTCATTGTCTGTAATGTGGCTTTTGCTGCATGACGCCTAGCTGGGCGGCAAGTGAGCATCAGGGTTATGCATTGCCGAAATAACAGCAGCATGCTCCAGATCCGCACGATATCGATAAACTCTTCACGATACGATTGCCGGAAGCACATTCCTTTGAAGTATTCAAGGATTTCTCACCGGCCAACTCAATTGTCAGCTGTTGTTATAGCTTACGGGCCCCCTTCACATAGAAGTGCATGTGGTCGACTGCATGTGCATTCGATCAGGAGAGCGGACTCGCTTAATACACCTCGCCTCGAGTTAGAAATCGCCTGATTTGACGCTTCCCACAATAGGCAGCGATTGAGCTCTGCTCCCAAGATGTCAGCCTGTTTCTTATTGACTTTGCCAAACCTACATCCGTTTCTGTAAAGCTTCCAGAATTCACCTGACCCCTCTAGCAAAGGCTCGCTCTAGCCCTTCGTCGTCCTCCCCAGATTTCAGCGGTTCGCGTCCCGCTCCGACTGGTATGAAGCCGACGCCTACTTCTGCCGGTCAGATACGCTGAGTCTATCTCTGGAGGGGTAGATAATAAGGAGTCGAGTAAGGGTACGACCCCCCAGCTTGTCCGGGATAGTAACTCTAGGGAGCCTGTGTTCCAGACGGATACGGCGCCCCCGGGAACTGTGCCGGAAACTGCGCCGGATAGGCCGCCTGGTCTTGCGTGACGTGAGGCCCGCCTGTGCCGTGATTCTGCTGCTGCTGCTGCTGTAGAAGGACAACGTGCAGGAAACAATCAGCCCCGAGACATATCCTGAAACGCCTAACACTTTGTGGACGGTTTGTCTCTTTCTTGGCTGAGCTGGAGCGTTGCTTGGGAGAGGAGAACTGCTGCCACAAAGGGTACGAAGCGAATTTGCCTTGTCTAGAGGAACAATGAGCAGTTGGAACATTTACTTGCGCAAGAACTCTGCAGAACTCCGCAAGGAGCTGACGTTGTTTTCGAAAGCAACCCGACCCGGGCCGGGACCGCGCTTTCAGAGAGGTCAACGCCGACGAGATTATCATAGCTTGACCTTACATGGCACGAAACCGCAAGCCCGAGGAGCCCATTTGTAGATTTGATAAGATTCTATCCTGCCCACAGAAAGAAGCGTCTTGCGCCTCGAGAGGGATCGGGACTTCTATCGTTCCTCTCAAGCTTTACCGCCAGTCCCAGAAAAGAAAACGAGTTTGACATAGCAGCCAGAACGACGCAAGCTCTCGTCAGAAGCTGATGTGAGTTTGAGGCCCTGGAAAGACGCGCGCCCAGAACCAGTAATGCATGCGAGTCTTTCAGAGCCGCACGAGCCGATCTCGTGACACAAACACTCTTATGCATGGCAAGTCCGTATACATACGGCCGCGCCACTCACTTGCTGCTGCCTCATCTGCGTTTGGAACTCCTCTTCCTCCTTTTTTTCTCCTTGTGATGGTGATGACGCGCGGCCGCGGTGGCGCCGACGGCCGCGACTTCGACGACGCCACGCAACGGGTTGAACTTCTGTGGACCTTCCTCGTCGGAGGAGCTAGAGTCGTCGCGACCGAACATGCTTGCTGAAGTCTGAAAGAAGCGGGCCAGGGAGAGGCAGCTTGAATCCGTGAAACAGCGTCAGCTAGAGAAGCGGGTTGAAAAGTTTCGATGAGGACGCAAGGCGATCGCGGATTGATGCGAAAAGCTTGGCGATCTCGTGAAGGTTCAAACGCTTGCGGCTCTTTAAATCAACAATGTGACTTGATAGACCTCTGTCGGCCAGAAGAGAGACGCCAGGTCGGAAACGTTCAGCGGCGCATGGTGGGACGCATCAGACAACCTTAGAGATATTGTCGCGTCGACAAAGCCAGAGTTCAGATTCGAGACTCGGAGCGCCAAGGACGGGACTCCGTTCCAGAGTCGAAGAGGAGAACCAGAGTATGGTGCTATCTGAGATAATGCTATGTCGAACGGCCAGTCACATGCACGCCCTCAAAACTTGATATAATGTCAACGGGAACATCAAATCGCCGTTTGATCTGCCGATGCTGCCCGGGCCTCGAGTATGCTTCATTTTCAGACACCGAGGAGATCTTTGCCAGGTCAGCAATATAGTAGTACGGCCGCAATTCTGCGTAGCGATCAATTGTAAGCCGGCTTCGTTAACGTTCTGCCTGAACGTTTTCTCTTGAGTTTTTGAACGGATGGTCTTCCAACCGTAAGAATTTTTCCGTCGCTCTACCCGAGTGTATCCACCAGCACTAAGATTAGATTCTGACAAAATCACTGTGACGTATCGTGCTGTCCGGAGACAAGGTCAGGTGGTGCAAACCAGGAAGCTTCAAGGCATGACAACACTGAGTAGCGGGGCGTTCAGCCTCCGTGCTTTAGCAACGTACGTAGCCGGAGGCGCGGCTTTCCTTTTCGCAAAACAAAAGGAGCACTCTCACAGAATTCTCACGCTCTCCTCGAGTTGAGGCCATAGGTTGCTGTCACCACAATTTGTGCCGCTGCTGAACAGGCTCCCTCGTCTTAACCCCGAGCGCCTCCATCGACTCTTCCCCTTCGACTCTCAGCGTCTGCAAGCATGCCTCTCGGAACATTTGGGAGGATCGCGGTCGCGAAGCACATTCACGACAAGAGGAAGGACGACGACTCTTCCTCCTCGGACGATGAGAAGCGTGGGCTTGGCCCGGTGGGGAAGGTCGCGGCGGTGGGGGCTATTCACCATCGCCGCGAGGAACATGATCGGGAACTAGGCCCGGTTGGAAAGGTGGCAGCGGCTGGGGCGATGCATCACCACCGGGAGGAGGAGAAAGAAGAGGAACAGATGAAGCGGCAGCAGGTGGGGCTTGACTAAAGGATGGAGTTTGATGGGTGTGTGCGCGCGCAGAAAGCATGTGCGCGGCACCTCTCTTTCATATCTCGTTCCTTTGACAGGTGCTTCGTACCTCTTTAGCTAGAGTAGATATCAGATGTTGCTGCGAAAGGAGCGGGACACCCACCTATATCTTCTTCGCTGCTTAGTTTCAAGTTGCTTAGTTTCAAGTGTGTCACCTTCAAAGTCTCTGGGCATTGTTAAAACTTCCAGAGCAGCAGCCTTCTTCGAGGAGATCATTCTTGTGAGTGATTCTAGAGCGGCGGGTTTGATTTGTTGTTCATGCGAAGCTTATTTTGCCACAATTTCTCTACCAACATGTTTTCAACCTCGCCTCGTCTCCGTTTTGGTAGATTGAGATAATTACGTGCGTGGGAATGTTGTGGCAGAGGCCCAAAACGGATTAATAGAAGAGCCCATTGGACGTTCAGCATTCATAATTCAGAAGATGTTCAGGGACATTGATTACTGCCCGCCACGAGCAAATTTAGATCCAAAGTCCAGGGTTTGTTGCGCAAAGTTTCTCCGTTAGAAAGATCTGCTCCTCCTCGACTTGAATTTGCCGGGGATCAAGGAAACGCTTCGCATTCCTGCTTTTGGTTGTTTCTCTTCTTGCGTCCTCGCATTCAAGGCTGACAAGCACTAAACAAAAAACTGGATCAATTCTAGCTTCGAACATACAAACAAACCCAGGTGGCATCGAAATTTTGCATATCTTCCAATCTTGAAACTGGACGCCGCAAGCGGGGATACTTTTATCTTCGCAAGAGTGCTTGCGTAATCGCTTGGATGCCTGTAGCAGTAACATGCACGGCTGTGAAGTTTGACGATCCCTGACAAACTAAGCTCTTTTGCTTACAGCAGCAGCAGCAGGCGGCTTACGCGGCGGGACAACAGGCGGCCTACTATCCGCAGCAGCCCGGCTATCCGGCCCAGTACCCTGCCGGGGTCGCCCCCAGCCCAGCTTACCCGGCTGGGTATCCCGCTCAGAGCGTTCCTGGACCGTACCCATACTCGACACCATACCCACCCCCTAAATAGGCAGCCACTTTACGGACTTGAGTAAATAAAGAGCTGCCGTCCGTTAGCGGTTGAATGGCTGTATAGGCGCAGACATTTTTTTCGGGGTCTTTCGATCAACGTTTGTGTGGGATGAGCTCAGGAAAGCGGCTCGCAGAGCTGGTTAGCTTTGGCGAGCACGGAACACGTCTTCATGCAGCGCGCACATGCTGCGGCATGGCTTAGGAACGGACTTCTCCAATAATCTTCAAAACTGGTCCCTTCTGAAGTTTGCCTTCACGTTTGCGATATCGAGTCCGTTTACATTGGCATGGATGCCATTTTATGAGCAGCATATATCGCAGTCGAGTAGAAATCATGCGCATGACGTTATAAGCAAAGATTAAATGTTACTCCACAGAAAAGTTGCTCTGCTGCTGAGTTCACTAAACTGCAGTACACATCTAGCTTTCTACGCGAACCCGTCGCCTGTTTTAAGGCCCCTGTCCTGGAACACGCATTGCGCGCTGCCAGGATCTGACAACCGAACTTACAAGCGATAGCTATGGACAGAGAAACGTCCACTCCGGCCTACCGTAACACGGAGTCAAGTTGTTTTCGTATCCTGCATAACACGTTACGTTCGATGTACAGACCGTCATAGAGCCTGCTTTTTTGCGAGATCCAATCCGTTAAGTAATCAGGCCGGCGCGCCGGACGGTCTAACGGAGGCAATCTCATGCAAGACGGTCATCCACGCCGCATAAGGCGTGCCTAGCTTCAATATTACCTATCTTAGATGTGCGAGTCAAAGCTGCGCATATAAAAACCTGCGCGCGTACTAATTGTGGTCTTCAACCTGTTCTGCACCACGGGTTCAATATATGCACGAGCTTTCCGGCATGTGGGCTCGACTGGCTGGGGGCTGCATGGCTCTAGCTGAGAATCGCGGTTTTGCGGACTCCCGGAGATCTTGGTTTTTGCAGATGTGATCGATCTTTTTGAATCGCGATGGGAGCATTGAAGACCATGTTCGCTTTCGCCTCTAGACTCCCTAAAGTTCTTGAATGCAAACACGCGTGAACACGTTTGCTTTCCAAATCGATCGCGGATCATTCAAAGATTATATTCGAGCTTACCGCCACGTACTGAGGGCGGCCGCAAGTCGCTGAACAGCTATTGATGCCAAGCAGCTGCTAACATACGGGTTAGTACCACGATGATGCATGAATGTGAGGTGCCACGCACTTCTGCCAGCGTTTAGTTGAGCGTTCGCATGGCAGCCAACCACTGGGCCACTTGAACTTAGAAAACGACAGAGCTAGGAATTGGCTGTCTATGTGATACAAAATGCTGGGCCCCTAATGCATGAGTGTCCTTGGTTATTTGAGACAGAGGGACTGCGTCCCGTCAAGGTCTTGCAGTAATAGTATCACTTACTATACAAGGGAGTTGACTGTGTCTATGCTGCATTTCTACAAGGAACACGTGCTTGTGATGTCTTCGTCAACTCCCTGCATTGCGAGCACGGAATATGTCCAACTCGGTTCCACAAGCAGAGATTTCTAGTTAATCATCAGCTCATTGAGACAGAACGGTGTTCGGAACCACCCCTCTCCAAGTAACGTCCATTGGCACCATATCCACGGGGACTGGTCAATCATCCCCGGAACCCCCAGTTGCGACTCCTTGCTGCCTCATGCTCTCGTAATCTGCGCGCAAAACCAGATTGGATGAGCCTCGCCGCAGTTGTACAGTGCAAGCTGATACAGGTGAGGCAATTGGTTGCGTTTGATTAAGCTAGCTTCCTGGGCGCCAGCATGCTTCACAACAAGGCCCGAAGCACCTTCCCCAATGTAACAACTGCAGCGGACAATTATGTCGCAGAAGACAAAGGGTTGAGAAGCGAATCGAACACAAGCACCAATCCTGCGTGTCGTTCAAGCAGTACAAGCTCGGCCGCTCGCGCAACTTACCTGGGTCGTCAGTGGGCAGCTGCAAGCGGCAGAGGGGGCACGAGTTGCGGACGTCCAGCCAGGGGTGAAGACAGTCCGCGTGGAACAGGTGGCGGCACGGCATGCGCAGCACCTCGATGCGGGCCTCCAGAACGCTCCTGGAACCAGGTGGAAGCAGCAAGTAAGATGCTGATAGGTGGAGTCAAAGTCGGACCCTGAAACACGCATGGTCGGGTCGCTCCTGAAGCGGGGGGGCTGAGTTACGGAAGCAGGACACCGTTAGAAGCCGCTACCTGACCAGACTCGGTTCTTCTGGATTCTGATTGCCCAAAAACGAGAACACTCTCTCTTACGCAAAAGCTTTTCAAGCGGTGTATCCTAGTCGTCTCAGGCAGAACGGGCCACGCTCAGCAGGAAGAGACAGCAAACAAAAGCGGCAGAATCGAGTGAAGGGTTGCTGACAGTATTCAGACAGTGACTCAGAAGGCGCCGGGGCCCGCTTACCTGCAGACCGAGCAACTTTCTTCGCCGGGCTCCTCTGGCATTGTCACTTTCTCTAGGGCTTGTACGGCGGCCCTAGACGCCGGCGGGGGCCACTGCGGGTGTGCGCCGGCCCCCAGCATGGCCATGACTTGGTCCAGGTTCTCGTCTACTGCAAGGGGAGGATGCTGCTCAAATGAAATAGGGAAGGAAAGACGAGAATAAACGGACGCGGTGGACGGAGAATGACGACGTAGATGCTGAGACAGTTGAGTCAGACTTAAGCAATGGTGGCAGGAAGCGACGGGCAAGACCGGTGGGGACGCTTGGCACAACCAGAAGGATCGGGAATGGTAGTTGCATCTTTCGAGCTTGAAGGGGGAAATCGAGCTGATGGAACATCAAGTTGCTCTAATCTACATGATCGTCTTGGCGCAGGTCCAACTGATACAAGGGGCTGACGGTGGTGCTTTGCAGACGGACAGAAAAGGGACTCAATTGCTCGGGACAGGCTGCCTGCTTCCGACGTTACAACACTGTAACAAGTCCAATACTTGTTTTGACAAAAGCCAACGTTGGTTTTTAATGTTGCCTTCAAAGCCCACAGTCGAACCCTAGGGCGTTTGCTCTATGTAGCAGTCGCCGCTCTTAATGCTCAACCTGTTTGTCAGCGCGTCGACTTCGGCAAAACGTGTTTGAACAGAGACTTACGGACGAAGTCTCCAGCGCGAAAAGCCAGGAGGCGGTTGCGGGCAAAGTCGATCCCGAAAGGTGGGATGCCGCCGCTGCAAAAACCATGGCAAGAAAATCAGGAAGGCATGCAGGAGTAATAAGAATTTAGTCAATGAACCACTTTCCTCTCCAATTCGAAAGCTGGACCTGGGAGTCTATCTCACTTCAATGTGGCTAGGCCAATGCCCCAGGATTGCTTGACTTGAATAATGGGGATGGAATACGAGACTCTCTATCTCATCCAGAAAAGGGTCCCTTGAAGAGCATCTCTTTGTGTTCGTTCCACCCAAGATCACTATGGCCTTTTCTAATAGCAGCTTTGGTTGGCCGCCATCATAAAAGATCTGGAATTCAGGCACCTAGCTTGAAAAGCCACGGCCCGAAGTCACCTCGCTCCAAGATCCCGACTTTCTAAGCAAAGAGCGCGGTTGAGCTTACAATTGCACGGCCATCTGCACGCCCGCTCCAAAATTCGTTGGGCCCCCGTAAAAAGCCAAGCCCCCCGGCGGGAAAAGCCCGCCCCGGCGGGCCGCCCGCGCAGGGCGAGGGGTGCGCTCTCCATCCTCTTCGTCGTCTTCATCGTGATCAGAGCCAGAAGACTGCAAGTTTAAAATACAATATTTTGAAGCGTCCCAACCTTTCAAGAGCAAGGCTGCCTCAATTGTTTTCAGATTCAAGCAAAGGCACCAGGGCGCGCTTGACACCTGCCAGACGAAAATATAGGATGACTACAACGTTCGTTCTTCCTGGGGCCGCAAACTAGCAGGCTTCTTGAGTTCCAAAATGACAGTTGAGAGGGTCCAAAACGCTCTTGCTGTAGCCAGAAACTAGACAAGAGGACCCTCAGCGCTTTGACCAAACCTCGGCAATGCTTTCGAAACCATCCCGTGCTTCCCAGGAAGCAAACCCAGCCAGGAAAGCAAAAGCGTTTACAAATCATCAGAGCCCATTTCTGCTCAAGCAGGATTCAGTCATTTCGAGGCTAACAGAGTCCACGAAGCTGCAGAAGAGCTATCACAGGCGGGCAGGAGAGGCCCCTCGTCCTCACCGCTGAGTCTGGGAGCAGGTCGGGCATGTCCGCGTACTCGTCCTCCTCGCCATCGCTGTTCAAAAGAGGTGGCAGGTCATCATCGTCGTCGTCTTCTTCCCCCTCATCTTCCTCGTCAGTTTCATCATCCTCGTCCTCAGCGCTCAACAGATCAGGAACATCATCATCGTCTCGCTCCACCCCACCAGAAGGGGATCCCCGGCCACCTCTTTGCGTCGCCAAACCAGCCCGTGGCGCTCTTGCTGTGCTAACTGCTGCTCGCATGGGCCCCAGAGGCAGGAAAAGCGTCCCCCCAGCACTTCGCTCGTCGTTCGAGGCCCGGTTGGCAGGAGACAGGCGTCGACTCCGTCGCCGGTGGCCCCCGTCCTCGTTCTCTGCTGGCTCCGCCACCCTAGCAACTCTGCGGCGGCGTTCGCGGCGCCGGGCCTCTCTCCCCCCGCCCGCAGTGGGGGCGGCTGCCGTACCCGGCTGGAAGCCCGTTGAGAGGAGGGTGCGCAGGGAGACGGCGGCGCTGCGAAGAGCGGACACTGCGCCTGACGGATGGAAGTCGGGGGAGAAGACTGGGCCGTGCGTGCTGTGGGTGCTGCTGTCCTCTTCGTCGTCAGATTCTATAAGGAAGAAGGGACGTATGACCTTGGGTTTGACCATCACAAATGAGTGTTGCGAGCAATGAAGCAACGGCCTGTGCCGGAGGTGATGGAAGAAATGGCGGTGTGCATGTTGGACGCTATGGTTTCGACGACCAGCAACTGTCAGAGGTTTGTTCAAATCTACAAGGGGGGCAACAATCAAACACCTCAAAGTAAAAGGGATTCGTACAGGTGGCAGACGACTGCCTATACCACATAACAATGCTGGAAACATTGATCTGCCAAAGAGCCGCCCAGACTCATCAGAAGAGGGGGCAGCGCTGAAAGATGTAATGCAGCATAGAATTGCACCTCCAACTGATCTTCTGATACTGGACGAGCAATGGGGCATCCCCACTTGCACATAGAGCAGAATATACTTGGGACGCCAGATCAGATCAATGACGATCTTCAGAAGGGTGAAAGGGCTGATAAAGTGGTCAACAGCAATCCAAAAGGAGACTGTTCAAGATCGAATATAAGAACATTCATTTGCACCGCCACTCGTCGGGACATTAACGGTGCAGTCTGTTTGAATGCAGAATCACTTCTTTCAGAGAAAGTCATGAGGAAAGTGGACATGAACACTGAGGGTGATTTCAAATTTGAAAATCCAGTCAAGCAACTTAGGAGTTGACCACTAGAAATGCTGGGTTTAATGGCAAGCCACAACCTTCCATCAAGTCAATTTCAGAAAAGAATTCTTATTTCTCTTGTCTGTCTTCGGTGCCAGTCATAGCTTGATAGCAGGAAGATCTCACTTCTTTGTCTTTCCTCAATCTTAATAAACCCTTAGAAGACAGTGTTTACACCTCCAGCCCACTCAGGAATCCCCAACATCCAACAGCATGCACTGTCTGACTTGACCCACCTGCATCGAGCAGGTCCGGAAGCTCATCCCAGTCCTGATCCTCGGTCGCAGGTCTCTCACTCGGGCTCCTGTGGAGATTAGAACGTCCAGAAGCAGCACTCGCTGTTAGGCCCTCTTGCTGGCCGCCATGGCCAGCCTCCGCAGAAGGGCTTGCGTCAGCAAACGAGTCACTGTCTGACATGTCAGAACCGAGCGCTGGAAGCGACTCCATTTCTGAATCAACATCCGAATCCATGTCTGACTCAGACTCCCCAACAAGGCCCGGTGGCTCATCATCTTCGTCCTCAGACTCGCTGAACGCCTCCGGGCCCAGCAATGCTGGTAAATTATCATCCTCAGAGCTACCTGCCGAAGGCAACCCGCTGTCATTCCCCGAGCTTGTCTCTAATTGACTCCCGGGGTAGCTAGTTTGTTCAACACCCGCAGTGGATGCGTGTTCCAAGGCCATGGGAGCGTTGGTTCCTGTGGATTGCTCGGGCTCAGCTGCAAGCAGAGTCTCTTCTGCAGAATGGTATGATTGTGAATCATTCTCAATGTTTGGAGAGGGCTCGCCCTGGTAGGACTCAAAGCCGTGACTGGCTGCCCCTCTATCACAGGCAGCTGCCTGACCCATTCCTGCAACAACTGGCCCCGGTTCTCCATGCCTCTGTTCATTCTGGGGGCACGTCCCTTTCGCACTACCTTCCATTTCTACTTTGACAGCTTGCTTCTGCTCCAAAAAGCTGGTACCAGAGTCTGAAGCACCTTCAGTTTGCCTCGAATTTTCCTGGTTGCTAGAACTACTTAGCCTTTCAGGAAGCCCCGACCCATGCCTGGATAACTGGACCTCTTCCCCACGCTTGCTAGTTGGGTCTCTCAGAAGGGCGACTGCCAGGCCCACATGCGTTTGAGAAGTTGGCCCTCGCATATGGTGTGCTGCTCCGCCAGCATCCATGGATTTCAAGCGGGCAAGAAAGTGGCTACATGGACACCCGCAGGCGGCCCCTCATGTCAAATGCAAAGCAACAAAGCAAGACACCATTGATGTGGCCAGAGTGCTCTCATCATGGAAGATTTCAACACGGGGGAAAGGCAGGAGAGGGGAAATGCGAACCCTCACCTAGGTAGCATTACGTAATACCGACGATTCAGTCAACAGCAAGCTATACCTCTAGCGGATTCTTCGGGTTGTGGACGTTATAGAGACAAACCGGCCTGTGGAGACGCAAGCTGACGAGCTTTTTGAGTACCCACCTCGAGCAGGTTTTCCATCACAGTCCCGGCCGCAGAAAGAGAGAAACTAAGATTAGGGTTTCGCACCACTGGCACCAGGACTCGAAGCTTTTCACAGTCACTGTTGGCAGTGTCATAGGGTATTCGCACCTAAAGGATTTCAACTATTCTTGTGGGTCTTTTCTTGCCGCTTTTTTTGTGAAAACAGCCAGAACAGGCAAGAAAAGACCGGTTATTCGCACCGGGCTGTAGTGTGCTCAATTCTTTTCTGCCCGGCCCAACAGCTATGATCTGACGGCTAGGAATGGCTTTGATTCCCGCACAGGACCGCAATCGGACGGCGTCGATGGTATTCAAGCTCGACCGTACGCGGATGGATGGCATAAGCTATGTACCGCACAAGAACCGGCAAGAATAGCCGCCACAAGAAAAAGTTGCCTGTCAATTTTCTTGCGGCCGAAATGGACAGAATCGGCGAAAACTCGCAAGAAACCCGCGAGAAAAGAACAGATCGGCCGGGAAATGTTAGGTGCGAATACCCTATCAGCGGTTCCACAATTCACTTCCAGCACCTTCCTGGTTTCGCTTCTTTGCTGACAAGCGCTGAGACAGTCTGAGAGCTTATTTGGTCCGACTTGCCAGCTGATTCAATTGGAAACAGCGCAGCGCAGGCCAATCAGAGGAGCAACGGAAGAGCTTGGCACTTGCTGCTGTGTCCTTGAAGCAGTCAGCCTTATTGCTTGTGAAAGCATGGGGCAGCCAAATGGAGATTCGCAACCGAAAGGGGACGTTCCGGAAGATGCCCCCGAGCGTGAGTCTGTCTTTCCTGGGTTTAAGTCCTGTTGACAGTTTGTTCTACAGCGCCTCTTTACAACTTGTGAGTTTGAAGGTGAATGACAAGCAAAATGGCTTCGGCTCACAGCATTGCCTTCACGGAAAAGGTGGTCGTGTGGTGACTGCAGCATGCTGGCAGTCCGACGGTGTTGAGTGCTTACCACCTCCTAATGATGCTTTTGTCAATTGCAGACTGTCCTGGGACTGAGTCCGAGCAGGCTGGCCAGGCTAGCGCCTGTGAGGGGTGCCCCAACCAGCAGATATGCGCGACAGCCCCAAAGGGCCCAGATCCTGGTAGGTTCCACCTTTTGTAGAGCTCTGACGAGGTTGGTGAGCCCTGATAAAGACGTCTTTCACACCGAACTTCTGAAATGTTGAATCATGATGATGGTGGTGGTGCAAGCTGTACGTGTTTGTGAGAGGTGGTGCAATTGGCAATTACGCATCAAGGCACCAAAGAAAAGCGTACAGTTTTCAAGAGAATAACTTTTAATTCTTGTCTACGTCGGTGGTGTGAGGGTCGTTCACACAAACATGTTGATTGCTCCTAAAGGTTACATACCTGCTTGTGGTGATTACTATCCTGGGTGTCTCTAGTTATCGTAGCGTTCCTGCCCTCCCGTCTACGTAATACCAGTTGTTAGACTCTGTGTGGCAAGGACACTATAGGCGTCTTGTAGCCCCCCTGGGTTTCATGTGGAGTCTTTGACCTTCTTGTTGCATGTTTTCTTCTTAGTTTGCTTTTGAGCTGTTTGTGTTCCCAAGATCACAATCAGAAAGGGCTGCATCCCCAAGTTGTATCGGACTTGCTCTCCAAGTGCTCCAAGTGCTCCAAGTGCTGAAAGAAGGGTCACCCGTCTGTCCGTGGTTTGCAGATCTTGCAGCGATAGAGGAACGGATGCGGACTGTCAAGCACAAGGTTCTGGTACTGTCTGGAAAGGGTGGGGTGGGGAAGAGCACCTTTGCAGCGCAGCTGTCTTTCGCACTAGCAGAGGCCGACAAGCAGGTAAGCATTTCTTGGTTGTAAAACATGCAGGGCTTTCAGGACCCTGTATGCGTAGCCCAATATTGGTGTCGCTATCAAAACTAGCGTCTCAGCCCTGATTATCTGATCCCTGAGCAACAGGATGAAACTAAGAAGCTTGAGTAAGATCCTCGGGGCAGTCCTCGAGAATGACTGTACTCGCAAAAATCTGAAGGCGCCTCAGTATTGTCTTGGGATTGTGTTTTGGGTCTTGCACTCTTGCAAGAGGACTTTGACGAGAACTTCTCCTAGCGTTTTCCAGCCTTGCTGAACTTTCTCCTTAGTTTGTTGTGGTTTTCTACCTGCACCTCCGTGGTGATTCTGCCCCGTCGGGCCAGTATGTCAGTTGCCGGGGACTAGGACAACAGTCATGTAGTGATTTCTTGACTTACATGCGTGGAAGTTCCCCCCTCCCGACAAGGCTCACCGATCTTTGGTTTCGCAGGTCGGCCTGTTGGACATTGACATTTGCGGCCCCAGCATACCCAAGATGCTGGGGCTGGAGGGCGAGGAGATTCACCAGAGCAACCTGGGGTGGTCACCAGTGTAAGGTTTCAATCCCCCTTGCTTCCAAAAACACTTTCTCCCTTTCAGCCTTTTGTCTGCTTCCAAACTTGGAAGAAGGCTTATGTCCTGAGATTGCAGTTGAGGTGAGCTTAGATATGAGAGAGTCCCTGCAGTGACCAAGAACATTCGTGATGCGTGGTACAATTGGCTGCAGGCTATCACGGGCAGCACCCGAGATAGCGTTCAGACCCTTGCTTTGACACGGAAGCGTCGATTAGGACTTTTCTCGTTTTACTTTCTCAGATCACATCAACTTGGCACGCTCGATTGCAGGTATGTTGAAGACAATCTGGGTGTCATGTCCATTGGCTTCATGCTGCCTGACCCGGACGAGGCGGTCGTTTGGAGGGGCCCCAGGTGAGCGGTTCGCCCACCCTTCTATGCATGAGTGTAGAAAAGTTGCGGTTGTCCGTTTCTTGTGCGTTGGCTGGGCTTTTCTATCAGGGCATTCCGCCTCTGTGAGTTGCTGTGTGCTGATTGCGAAAGCCTTGTGCGAGATACAGGGAGAATTTGCTCATTGTCAAGGTTTTTGTTTGCAATCATCCGACTGTAAGCAACTTCTAGAATGTATCTGTTCCTCGCACTCGATAGGAAAAGAGAGTTTTAAGCGGATTCTTTTTCTCATCTCGAGGTCATAGTGACGGGTCACTCCTTTACAAGCCGGTAGGGTGGTTTTCTCCATCTGCTGGTATCGCTCGCTTCGAGTGTAACGAATCAGAAGGCGGCATTTGCTGACCGTTTCTTCTTGAGCTCTCAGGAAGAACGGCCTGATCAAGCAGTTTCTGAAGGACGTCTACTGGGGCGATCTGGACTACCTGGTCATCGACAGTGAGTCCGCTTTTACGTAGCTAGCGTCCCGTTTTCATGGGCTGAAATCGATAGGTCTCTCCTGAGGTTCCCTTCTTTCGGACTGACCAGTTTTGGTTCCGGTCCAAAGTTCAGCCCTTGCGTCCAATTCGAAGATGTTCGCGAATCAAGTTGGGGAAGCTTTTAAATAGGACAGGGCATGCTCGTCTAAATCAGGTCAGCAACGGAGCATTTCGGCAGTTGTCGTGCCAGGGGTGGTCACGCTTTACCGAGTAGGGGCGGTCTGAGTATGCGTTTAGTATTCGCCTCCCAGAACTTGCCAACCTCAGCCTTCTGTGTTCGGGGTTTCTTTCCTCTTCAATCAGCCGGTAAAGCTTTCACGGTCGCTCGTTCGGTATATGACCTGTAAACGTTTACGCTGTCCCTCTACTTGCCCCCAATGACGAACTTCGCCGCTGCTTCTAGTATCTGGTCATTGCTTTATCCTCCCTGTTGCATACAAAAGTCGTTGCTGCGACCATTGGCCTGTTACACACAAAAGCTGTTGCTGCGGTCATGTGTGATACATAATTCCGTTCTGCTTTTTCGTGCATCTCCGAGTCGTTTTGCGCGTGCTTGCAGCGCCTCCGGGTACTTCGGACGAGCACATTTCGATGGCGCAGTTCCTCAAGGCGACGGGAGTGGACGGAGCGATTGTGGTCACGACGCCGCAAGAGGTGTCCATCATCGACGTTCGGAAAGAAATCAACTTTTGTAAAAAGGTGGGTCCGCGAAGATTCATTGAAGCAGAGCGGTAAAACAACTTGGAGTTTCACTGGTCTTGGTGCTTGCCGGGATGCGTTGAAGATTTGTGCGGTTGAACGCAGCCTGTACAGGCGCTTTACAAAGCTGCCTTCGATTTTAAAATGTTGGATGCATTGCCAGACGGGGCTTGCCTTCCCAAAGCTTGCGAAACCTCCCGGTGCTGCAAGAAGTTGTTGCGCTTCGTTTCCAAGAATCAACGGACGCACTTCGTAGGATCCCACAACGATTTTTAAGGGAGATTTCGGCTTCTGTTCTTGGCTGTGTCTAGGGAATCCTGTCGGTCGTTACATGTATTCGAGACATTGAACAGTCGAGGTGCCTTATTATGCAGGTCGGGATACGGGTCTTAGGCGTCGTTGAGAACATGAGCGGCTTCCAACAAAAGCTGGGCGCATTCACCTTCAGAAAAACCGGGCCGGACGGTCTGGAAGAGGATGTGACAGAAAAGGTGAGACCTGGTATACACAAAGAAGAAGTACTCTGTGGGCAAATTTGGTCGCTACGAAAGGGGTGGGATCAAATGTTCGGGGGTGGGATCAAATGTTCGGCCTGGATTCAGAAGCTTGTTCGGCTTGGACTGGAAGGCTGCAAACGAAAGCCGAAAGCACGCCAAGCTTAGCTGCAACACGTTTGTGCCGCTCCTCCTTGCCTTCTGAACGCCAATCTATCCATCTATTTCTGTCTTTCGTCATTCACCCCGAAGTGAGCAACGCTTTGTTCCTGAGAGGTTGCTTCAAGGCCTGCAAGCTCTTTTGTTGGACGACTTCTTTCGAAGAGCAGCGAACATAGAGCTGACCCTTTGCCAGCTATTTTTGGACTGCAATTAATCTGACGCTGTTGAAGTGGTTGGTTCTTGAATTCGATGACAGTGGCGGAGTTTCAACGAACCGCCAAAATCACCCCTCGCGAAGTGAACTCTTATTTGATTGAAACAGGTCAATTCCTTCTCGAACGACTCGCTTAGGAAGCCAACTTCCCATTAATATCAGCAGTTCTCAGCGTGTTTTACCTCTGCTCTTTCTGCAGGTCTTAGCTGAGATCCGAGCGGTCGCTCCGCACCTAGAAGGTCTGACGGTGAGTCTTGTAGTTACCGCTACTCGATGTATCACGGTTGCTTTTCAACGCTCTCAAGAATTCGTTCAACTGACTGCCCCACTGCCACGTTTGTGCGGCGTTCGCTTCTAAGCTGGCAACGTGCGTTGCCTCTGAGACGCAAACTTTGAACATGCCGGCAAAGCGTCCCTTATTTGCCTCACCCGCTGCTTCAGGGCAAGAGGGACTGCCGTATGCGCTTCGTAGCTTCTTATGTAACGGTTTCAGCTCGCCACCTTTTCAACTCGGACCCGAGACCTAGTTCATGAACGTGTAGCGGCAGGCTCTGACCCGTTGGCTGAAGGATGCGCATCTCGATATTGATTTGAGAGCTACCTGGTAGCCGTCGGCTCCAAGTACTAAGTCCACGTCGCTTCGCTCGCAGGCTTGCACGGAGATTTTACATGCGAGTGGTGGGGGCGCTGAAAAGATGGCCAGAGATCTGGGCGTTCCGTTTCTCGGTCGGATACCTCTGGATGCCACCCTAAGCAGGTGCGGCCGTTTACCTTTATAATTGCGCCCGTTTCACGCATTTTCATTGTCGCTGCACCTTTTCGCATTAAACCGCAGCGAGTAGTCCTTAGAGTTATGTCATCTGAAGTCGTGCAGAGCGAGTCTAGTAACCATCGTCCTGTTCATCAAGGATCTTCGCGTGGTCCTACTGCCAATCCGTTTAATCCTTTAGAAAGTCCTATCATCTCGTCGTGGAGTACATCTTTCTCGCCGTCCTCTTAATTGGGGATCGAGGAACGTGCGACGGCTCTGTATCATGGATAAGCTTGCTCTCCGTCTTGAAGGTCTTCTCTGCGTAACCACTCTTACAAGCTAGAGTTGGCATTCAAGGTCCATGAACGTACGCTTCCATTCATGCGCCCCCCCAGTCATGCGGCCCCCTAGGCCCGTGCTACACCACCAGACAGCATCAGCGAACCAGTGCGAGGCTTGCTTTTGGGGCCTCCGCGTAAAAAATCGAGATTATGTTGCATATGTCGGTGGTCCGCACTGCTGTCTTTTGCTGACTTGCGCTATTGTGTGCAGAGCGGCTGAGGAGGGCCGCTCGTGCTTCACGGACTACAAGGATGCCCCGAGCTCCTTGGCTCTTAAAGCCGTGATAAAGAGTGAGTCCGTCTCGCCCGTGATTTGCTGCTGCGGTTCTTGGTCGTGTACCCAACCTAAAGCGCAGCGTGACTTCTTTCGGGATGCAACATCCCGAGCAAGGCCGTCCTCACCTCGAACACTTGATCCGACTTGCAAAACGAAGGTTTTTCTACGTGCCGGCTCCGCTAGACGCTTTGTTCGACTGATATTGGTTCCTGAATGCCGGCTGTTTAGCCAAACTTGTGGGCAAGGGGAGGCTTCGGAGCCCTGCTGGGCTCTTCACCATATAGCGGAGCCTAAAGAGACCACAGCAACTCGCAGTAGTCTACCTTTGTGCTGGGTACTGGAAAAGAGAGCAAGCTCCGTAGGCTCGTTTTTCGCTCATGCTCAGATCTCTTTTCTCCTTTGCAGAGGTTTTGCAGACCGTCGAACAAGCGTGAAGTATATGGAGGGGGACACTTTCGCTGTGCTCCAATAACGGGCAACTCGATAAATGGTACATAGTAAGTCTCCTTAGATTTATAGGTGTGCGTGCTACAACGACTCTAATAAAAAGCTTTCAGTTTTGCAGAGGCCTTACGTTACATTGTCAATCCCATTGGACGGTCGTCTCTGATGATGACCTGCTATTGGCCACATCCTTATGGCGCGCCATGTTTGTCATTGGGTCAGGTTGAGGTCATGAGCGTGGCATGAGCCATGAAACTAAGTCAACCAGTAGTTTCCAGAAGCTCGTAAATTGAACTGTGTGTTTTGAAGCAAACCTAGGTTAATCCAATGGGCTCCGCGTACCGTAGGAGCGAGAGATTGTATTTTTCGCATGCGAAAATGTTGCAGTTACGGGTTGCCAATGCCACATTCATTGGATGGTGTGCGCCTTTTTGGTCGGCCCGACGCTCTGATACATGTAAAGGTTTGCGGTCCTCGGGTTAGCGGGCCTCGACACGACTTGATGCCGAGCAGTGGCGCAAACCCCTACATAGGAGCACCAAGTCCATGTTCTCGGTTGCTGAAAAACCCACATATGAATGGCAGTTGCACACAAAGTCGAAGTAAGAAACAGGTCGACCAGCCTGAGCCCTTATGATGATCGGCAGTTGTTATAACCGCGTTGAACCCGTCTGTTGCAAAAGCAGATGGGAACAATCTCAGTAGTTGAGGTAATCAGCTACAGCTTGTGAATGCTTGACTATAGGGTGAATTGTAAGCATCCCGTCATATACCTATTTGCGTACGTGTATCCACCTGCATCATGCCGACCGTCGGAATCTGTTGGTCGCTTGCAGACGACTTAGATGCGACTTGGATATCTGGTCTTCAGCGTGGCCAGTTGTGCAATTGCCGGTCTTGCATCCGACAAACGTGCCGCGCGCCCGGGCGCGCATTGCGATCAAGGATTTGTTAAGTTCGGCCACTTGATCGAGCAGCTGTGCCAAGAAAGAAGTTCCGGTTGCGCGGCCGCCCGCGCGTTGCATGAGCGGGGTTTAGTAAAAGATTTTGTGGTCCGGTCGCGAGCCTGCGAGTACGTCTACGGTACATACCGAGCCCGACGGTACGGTCGGATGATCCCTCTGTAGCAATTCTGTGCACTGCCGGTGGAGTGCTCAGTCTGGAAAGGTACAGCGAACGCAACCGGCTGGGTCTTGTGGTCAAAGATCCGCATCTGTGGGGATTCTGTCTTGTCATCCTTTGGGCGCAGGACGAACTGACAAAGAACTGCAGCGGGAGTCCGGCCAGCAAGACGCCCGAGTGAACCTGGCCCGCGCTGACAGCGCACAGCTAACCTGATCAAGTGGACCAAGCTTCATAAGAAAGCGTAGAGAGCACTTGAGTCAGTACCCTATGACTGCACCACGGTCTAAGGCTCACCGTGACCATTTGCGGCACTGGATTGCTAGATGTGACATTGAAGGTGTTTGTGCTGATTGAGTTCATGGATCAATCTAGGCCAGTGTCTTAGAAACCTACAAAAAGTTCACGGCCGCGCACGTTCAGTTGTCGTTATAGGTAATGACAAGGCCAGAGATCTAGAGATTGTCGGACTTTTCTGGTAACAATGAAGTGCTCAGGCTTGCTTGCGATGGTGCTGGCACCAGCCACTGCACAAAAGCTCGTTTTTATCAGATCTCAGTTGCATGATTCTTGAAGCCGCAACAGCGGCTCCAGCACACCAACAAAATTGGCACAAGTCTGCCCGTATCCATTCTCCAATCTGCTCCAGCCCACAGGCCGTCTGCCAGCTGTCCTCTGACCAACACAAGGGCAGCTTAATTTACCTAAAGGTCACACCCACAAACACTAGTCATCCCAAAGCGCAAGTTTGAATGGGTATCCTCTTTACCAAGCTTGGGAACGTTATTGGGCTCTTTTGCTCCAAACGGAAGGCGCGCATTCTTTGCCTGGGGCTGGACGATGCAGGCAAGACAACAGTCCTGTACACGCTGAAGCTGGGGATTATGGACCGGTACTCAATTCCCACCATTGGCTTCAATGTGGAGACCGTGCGGTATCGCAACATCAGCTTCGAAGTGAGATGACCAGACTGGATTGTCAACTTTTCGAACCATAGTCTAAACATTTCTGGGGTTGCATTGTATCGCTCTATGGAGAAGGGTGTTGCTTGGGTGCATAGGTCTTCCCTTGATTTGCGAGATTCTCAGAGAGCGCCCATTGCAGCATCCATCTAAGATCTGCTCCAAATTGGGTTGCAGAATAGTCCTTGGGACATGCTTGGAAGGACTTAAAAGAAGGAGGTTTTTCTAGCTCAACTTCATATCGGAATTGTTCCTAGCGATATACTGGTATTATAGTAGCAGCCACCGAGTATGAAGGTACAAAGATAAGACCTGTAGCTGTTTAAGAGCTTAGGAGTTTTAAGAGCTCTATTGCTTTGGTGTGTTCAGCCAATTGAACCAGGTGCTTTGAGGTGTCTGGATCGGGTGTCTGGATCTCCTTGCCTTCGCCTAAAGGCTGGAGGAAATTGAAGAAAACGAAAACAAAAACTCTTGTGAACGACCTGCTGATCCACAAGGCTTTCACTTTTAAAGCAACTTCTCCCGTTCGAGTCTCTTGATAACGATCTCTCTTTGTATCCAGTGAATCCGGATTCTTCTTTTGCAAAATTGCCGATAGGGATTCTGCACCAGAAATTTCGAGTATTGGCATCAGTGCCGGTATTATCAGACGTCGTCTCAATTCGGCCCGTCTCACGTGCGTTGGGCGTTTGTTTAGCATGAAAGAACAGCTTTGAATGGCTCCTTGCAAGACCGAATTTACAGGTGAAGAGTTCTGCAGCTCGTATCAACAAGGAGAGAGCGGAATCTTCCTGCTGGCTTCCACACCCAAGAAGCCAAGAACCGACTCGCTTTGAAATCCTTTTTTGCCCCATTTTTGACCATTGTGGCTCTCGATTGGTGTGGGCAGAGGAGAGCACCACGAGTCCCTGGATGTAGCAGTCGTAGTTATAAACAACAATGCCCCTGTAGGGGACCAAAGCAGTCTTGCTAGCGCTTAACGTCGAATTCGTCATACTACGTTCAATTCCACTGACAACGTTCGCTTCCGTCTTTGACACTCGCAGATGTGGGACCTGGGCGGGCGGCAGCAGCGGCATCTGTGGGGCCACTACTTCCAGGGCACGCCGCAGGGCCTCATTTTCGTGGTGGACAGCCAGGACCGCGCGCGCGTGCAGGAGGCGCGCGAGGTGCTGCACGCCGTTCTGAGCGCTGAGGAGATGCGCCACGTGGCCGTGCTCGTCTTCGCCAACAAGCAGGTCGGTCGACCGGGGCTGGGGGTCCTTCTTTTAGACAGGTCTTGCTGAGTGAATGAAAGAGGGCAAAGTCAGCGGCGGGTTGTCCTTGTTAAGGCAGCTTCTCGACTCTGTTTGTGGACAGGAGTTGCGTCTCAAGATGCTAACAACCAGTATTGTGACAACCAACGTCCCGATACCGGTTCACTTCGGCACGAGGTTCTCTACTATGAGCAACGATCTCAAAGAGCGGGAAGAGACAGAAAGGTTCCGGACGGTTCCCCAAATCTGAACCCGTGCTTATCTTTTTGTAGGACCTGCCCAATGCGATGACAGCCGCCGAGCTGAGGGACGAGCTGGAGTTGTTCTCCATCCGGCAGCGCAGCTGGTTCGTCCAGAGCGCGCGCGCGCGGACCGGGGAGGGGCTGAACGAGGGGCTCGACTGGCTGGCGGGGCACCTGCCCGAGAAAGACGAGACCTAGACTCAACGGAAAGCGTATAATATCAAGATGAAGAGAAGCTTTGCCAGAATAGCTGCAAAGAGTACGTCTTTTATTCTCTCAAGGTCTGATTTGAGCCTTTTGTAAAAGAAGTTGGAGTTGCACATGTACAAACGATCAGCCCCTGTAGATTGTCAGATCATGACGTTTAGCGCACGAGACAATTGGACTAGGAACTTCTGCAAGAACTGTGAAATGAATAGGATGCATGAATGGCGTCAGTTGAACGGTGGCATGCCACAGCCCTTCATTTCCGAGGACCTTTTCCCGGACATCCGCGATCAAACAGCGTTCAGTATCGAGTGCTTAGTCTTTGCTGATTGTTACCTTGTACCAATACGTACTCGAAAGCTCAAGAACTGGCTACGGACATATATACTACGTAAAGGCAAGTTCGAAGCTACAAATGACACTTCTCTGGATTCGCGTATAAGTTATCAACCAGTTGGCGGCAGGCTAAATTATTCAATCTAATGAATCTATTGTTGACATTGTCTGCATCGAAGTTCAACGCGTATAAAAGACGGTCTTCACCACCACTGCAACATGATGTAGCTTACTTTGCACAAAGAGGGTCCTTCGCGCTTCTGATCCCACGTTTCGCTAATACGAAGCCCGTGCGGCTGCCGTCAGTTGCTGGATTTTTCGCTGACTTGGGCACCTGTGGTTTTTCCACATGTGCTGCGTGCCTGACTACTGTTGGCCGCGCGCTGTCGCTACCATTTGCCGCCATGGCTGCGCGGCACTCAGTCGGTGACCGCGCGGCGGGCCGGCGCCGCGTGCATCCCGGCCCGACGTCATCTCGGCGAGGTTTAATATCGTAGCGGACTGGCCCGTGCGGTACGGTAGTACGGTCGGATGATCCCCCGGCCCCGCTCATCGCTCACGCTGCAGTTCCGACACCTCGAGGGTGCCCCTGCATGGGCGGAGCATGGGCTGAACATCCTGGGCCCAACGACCCGTGTAACCTGAAGCATCTCACGTTTTAAAGACTGGATATACACTGCTGAAGTCGTTCAGATCATGAATGCATTACCAGTGGAGTGCCCGGAAGGGTACGAACGGATTTAGCCAACTGCCAGCGCATGGGTAAGTTGAATTACTGACAGTACGAGTGCATCTACTATAATCGACCAATGGCTGACTAGTTGAGCATCACTGGTCATGGCCTTTAGTCAACGTCGGAGTCTGTTCCGTCACCCTTTGACTGGTCGTGTTACAGCGGCCAGTACAGTGGTAGTAGTAGTACTAAGATGAATAACTTGGCAACATGACCTTCGTTGTAGAACATTGTAGAGCAGATGAATCTTCTACGTATGGTCCCATCACCCTGTAACCGTAGCTACTCAGCTTTCAGACTCTGAGAAGCAAGATGCGGTGATTTTTGTTGGACTATTTATCAAATGTCGGCCTCCTTGAAAGCCCACATCATTTTAGCGCACACTCGGCACTGATAACGTTGAAGGCCAAGAGTTTTCAGCAACAATCTTCCAGTGACTTTGAGCTGGTGCCAAATTCTTGAGTTGAGGACCAGAGCGCCAGTCACAGTAATCACAGTACTAGCCTCCTTTGTCAGCTGCAGATTGCCGTTGGTTTTTCAAAGACCACAGAAACACTCCGGGGACACCAGCCAACGTCGGGTGCTGCCTGACCCCGCTTGGACGACTTGCCCCCAGGGCCGTTGCTCTTGAGCCCCGTCAAAGACAGCTCTATCCAAGATCGACTCCGATCCTTCAACTTCCAGGTTACAGAATGGGTATCCTCTTCACCAAGCTCGCGAACGTGATCGGTTTGCTTCTCTCCAACCGGGAGGCGCGCATTTTGTGCCTGGGACTAGACGCGGCGGGCAAGACGACGATCCTGTACAAGCTGAAGCTGGGGGAGACAACGCACACGGTACCCACCATTGGGTTCAACGTAGAGACCGTGGAGTACCGCAACGTCAGCTTCACGGTGAGACAGGCGGCCTGAGGAAGCTGGATGTGAGATCCGCGAGGCTTGTGACGTGAATATCTAGCAAGATAAGAGTCAGGTCTCGACGATGTTTCCAGGACTTGGCGAGATGCTTTTCTTGAACCTTTTTTCCAAGAGCTTCGAGCGTAGGATGGCAGTGACTTTCCTTAGAGAATCGTTCTCGCTTTTCTTTCAAGGATCTCTTTTCAGAGGTCTCGAAGAGCCTTAACATTTCCTGACCGTGAGCGCTCACTCCGAGGAGACGAACGGGAGTAGCTATGTGACTGTGTTCTCCCCATCGACAGTTTAAAACAGCCGTTTCCGCTTGTGAACTTTTACAGGAGCTGTTCATTGGTTCATGTCGTCGATCTGCTTTTCCTCCTCTGTTCAAAACCTTGCCTGCATCCGGCATGGTACTTGCCGGAACTCTTCTCCAATCAAATAAAACCCTTCTAAGAACCACGGCCTGACGAAGCCACCTTTCCACGCTTTGGATTTTTGTGGGCTTCTCGCGAGCTTCTCGCTCAACGACCTCGACTCCGAGAGTGACGAGGCTTCAATCCCCTCAGAACACTCGTACCTACGGTGGTCTTCTTCCGCTTTTGTTTTGGTGCAATCTTCTTTCGAACCTGTTTGATTCCGGATCGTTGGAGTGGAATGCTATACTCACAGTGAAACGACTTTCTAGAAGGCATTGTAAAAAGGTCTACTAGTCACGAGCGAACAGCATACGTCCTCATAGCTCTCGGCCCCTTTTGGCACGGAAGCAATCGCCCAGATGCGGAACTGTATGTTGCTACTGACTTCCTTCCCTGATTCCTTTCTGAATGCATCCAAGTCGCATCAGTATCCAATCGCTTATCTCACCTTTCTGATTCAATCTTGTCCCGTCGACTTCCTCAGGTGTGGGACGTGGGCGGGCAGCACAGGATCCGGCAGCTGTGGAACCACTACTTCCAGGGCTCGCAGGGCCTCATCTTCGTGGTGGACAGCCAGGACCGCGCGCGCGTGCAGGAGGCGCGCGAGGAGCTGCACAGCATCTTGAACGCGGACGAGATGCGCAACGTGGCCGTGCTCGTCTTTGCCAACAAGCAGGTCAGTTGACCTGGCCTCGCTCAGCTGGCAGAATCTCTCTCGGCAGGCGGTTGTTTGAGCCTCGTTCTTCCGCTCCTCGTTTCCTCCTTTCAATTATTCTTTAACTCTGCGAGACAGATATGTTTGCAAGAGGACATGTCAGCTGGGCGTTCTCAGCGGTGAAATTTTCCATTGTCGGAATAGCGTCGAAGGTACTTCGCATCGAGATTCTTATGTCCATCGTGTTTTCCCCACCTGTGCGAATGCGATCGAGCGCGTCTCAAGACGCCAACCACCTTTCTTCCGGCACGCTACCAAAACCAGCCAACCTCAAAGTGAACCCTGTGTGTATCTGAGCACGACTTCGAAAAGCGGGAAGAGTCAGAACCTTCCGCCGCTTCCCCGCTCCTGAACCCAGGGTTTCGTTTATTTCCAGGACCTACCCACCGCGATGAACGTGGCCGAGCTGACGGACAAGCTGGGCCTGCACAGCATCCGGCAGCGCAGCTGGTACATCCAGAGCGCGTGCGCGCCAACCGGGGAGGGGCTCTACGAGGGGCTCGACTGGCTGGCGGGGCACCTGCCCAAGAAAGACGAAATATAAACGCCACGGAAGTGTCAATTCCTTGGTATAAATGTGATCTCAAACGGTACTAAGGAATATTAAGAATAGCAATTCTAAGAATAGCTACGAAGCTCGTGGTTCAGAAGGAATTGAAGTAAGAGGGGAGCAGGAGCTTGTCCAAGAAAAAGCTGATATCGACTATCGGTCTTGTCGTATTCACGAGATGTTTGAGTAGGTCTCTAGCTATTTGTAGTACCAAGACTGTACTGTTTATGGAAAAGGAAAGACTGAGGACGCAAGCTGCCCGCTAGCATGCCAGCACCATCCAATGCAGAACTTAATCCTAACAGGTCCGCTATCAATAAAGCTTAGATATGATCGCAACACTGGAACTGCTCTGCTTTACAAACTAACGACCCAAATCCAAAGGTGAACCGCACGGCTCGATGACACGCATCCGCTCAGTTGGTCTTTTGTTCTCTAGCTGCCACGGTGCCCAACGATTGCACGTACCTAACAGAGATGACCCCTTTCTGGCGAACCATGTATGCATGTACAAACGTCTCCAGGGCGGGCACAAATCATGATGAGGATGGTGACCATCGCCGCTCCTGACAAGCTGCGTTGATTCTTCCCTGCATACGTAGCGAGGCCACATATGATAAACCAATCGCACGCAGGATGAACCGGCCGGCCCCATGTCTGAAGCGTCTCCGCGGAAGCTTCAATGACGAGAGTCAATACTTTTACGAGAAGGAACCGTTCATGACATGATGTTTCAATGCGCTCCGTTTACGAGCGACGATGCTTTGACTGCACTGAGCCGCCGCGGCCGCTTGCAGAAGATCGATCATCTCCAAAGCGACAAGAAGTTGTTACGATATATGCGAGCTAAAGGGTGTTTCCATGACACATGCAATAAGCTTGTTGCACATGAGTGTGAAGTTGAACTCGGATTTGTATCGAAAGAATGGTCACAGTTGCAGTCTAGTGCAATCACGCCCGCGTGCAGTGTTAGCAACCGAGCTTTGCACGCGCGTGTAACTTAGTTCTACTGGAGTCTTGTCGAGTAGCCTTGAACCTAGCTGAGTAGAACTTACACGTGCTTGAATCAGTTGAACTTATGTGTCCGACTGCACGAGAAGCTGCATGGCACATGTACATCTGTACAACTACAAGCCATCTCGATCAGGATCAATTGGAGCTTACACACAAGTTGCTTTGCAATCGGCATGCTGACAGCTTGTTACTCAATTTGCATCGTGCTCAATGCCTCTACAAGAACCCAGGATTTCTAGGTGACAGACGGAACCTTTTTGTCGAGATCAAAACACAAATTTGAATGTTACTTGGGTTAAGTCCGCGAAAATGACCAGACAATCCCACAATGCCCAAGCTTCAGAGTCTGAACATAGCTCTTTTGATGAGCACACGGTTGAGCAGTAAGACGACTACACCTAATTGAAATCGTAAAAAGCCAGCGGCGACCTTATCACTACCAGAAATTGGGAGTCAATTGACTTGCATCATATGTTCTCAACGATTTGACAACTTGACGCAAAGACTCGTAATTCGCTGCCTCATGTTAGGCAGACATGTTGACCGATTGCATGGAGCATGTTTTCAGCTGAAAGCCCGGCCATATCAGCACTGTCGCGCTCCCGTCGCGCACCACCTAGTGGGGTCCAAACCCACGGCTGCCTCTCAGCATAAACGGGACTTGCAGCGCCCGGAGTGTAGGCTCGCAAACCTGCAAGAATGCAAAAGGTCCGAGCTTTGCTGCGCACCTATCTGCCAAAGCTCAAATAGCTATGCAGACAAGGGGCAAAATGGGCATGTGGATCTCAAAAGCGGCCCTGGTCTTGCTTGAGTTTAAGCTTGAGAACCAAATATCAAGCAAAAAAGGGCCCAGACGATCATGTCACCTGCTGGTCATCACCAGGTTCATTTGCATCGCTTGAATCTGGTCAATAATATAAATGCTTCCAAAAGGCAGCTTCTGCTATGACTCTGAACGAATGCAAAGTCATGCTCACCTTGGGGCCTTAGTAGAAGCGCATGGTGACGGTTGGGTATTCCCTCTGAATTGCCATTATAGTGTTCATAACGTCCACGTCGTTGAAGATTCTAAAGAATCTGAAGCACAGGTTCATTCTCTCCAAATTGGTCGCATTCTCCAAGATCCAAAAGAGGCAGTCCCGGCAGTCTTTCTCTATCGGGGCCGCTAAGTACACAGTAAAGTCAAGCAGACAGGGAAGCAAGTCGTCACATCCCCAACCATCGTCAAATACCTTCAAAGACTCAAAGAAGTGCAAGTCTAGCTGTAAGGTCTCCACTTCTGCAATCCGCCCAAAGAACCTAACAATGTCAATTCTGTCGTTGCTTCCAATCGACTCCTCATCGGCTTCCCAAGGCCCGTTTGAGTCTGGAACCTTTTGCTCGATTGCCATGCTTCTCAACGAGGGGCTCAGATCTACCAACGTTTTAAGCACTCTCTCCCACCCGCCTTCAATCTCATATCTGAGGGATTCAGAAGGCTTGGGTGGACGGATGGTGAGATAAGACACCAGTGGCAAAGCAAGGGTATCGCTAGCCAGAGGCACCATGTGCAGATTTAGGTCTAAGGTCACAAGTTGGTGCTCATCTAAGATCAGAGTCTGAGGACCGCACGCCTCCAGGAACACCAGCTTTTCCAACAGAGGCGTCCTGAACCTGAACTCTACATTCTCTGTCAAAACAGAGCCTATTTCGAATTCCTTCAAATGAGGGCTTTCTACTTCCATTTTGTGAGTAGTAGCGTCCCGATTGCCCTTCAGATCAAGTTCATCTATCTTCAGGTTTTCCAACTTTGGACAGACGGCTAGAATGGCATGCAGCGCCTCGCTGCTGGTGGACACATTGTGTAAGTTCAACGTGCCGAGAAACTCAAACCTGCTGTGGCCAGCGGGGAGACGCGTTCGCTCCCAATGCCACACCCTCCTAAGGATCGAAAGCTCTTGCAGGTGGCATAAGCTCTCTGAGATTTTGTCAAGTGGCAGCTCGAGAACATCAGTATCCCAAGTCAGCGTTTTGAGCGCAGGCAGCTGTTTTGCTATGTCCGCACAGATTGGAAGTAAGGACGAACCTATGACAAAGCAACCACGTCGGTAGAATGGGGGAAGATGCAAGCACTCCACTTGCATTGTTGCAGCACGCCAAGCTCTGCATACTTGTCTAAAGCTCCGGTACTCATCATATGCGGGAGCTAACGAAAAGATCCGTGCAAGGAGGGCATCTGGGAGACGCTCCACCGGGGCGCAACCTGCTGATGCAACCATCAGTAGGCGCATTCAGGCTTTTGATAAAAGCTAGGACCTTAGATAGTAACAATAAAGCACCTGATAGTGATTATGTCATGGCCCATTCATATTTCATTCAGTCTCTTTGACTCTTTGAACAGCGTTTCGTTTGAACGAAGTTCTGACCTTCACCGTTCACGTGAAGGTTGCAGAACCTTGAAGTCTGTACAATGTACATGCAGCGCCCGCCGCGGCCCCCGGCCGGGGACCGTCACTTCGGCAAGTAGGACAAAGTACACTACCCGTACCGCCAAGGGAAATCGCCTTAAAATAAATATTTTGGGGTCGGTGCGAAAAGTTGGAAGTAAACGGGACCCTAACTGCGAAAAGGCGAAACTAAAGAATTACCTCAAAATGGTGAAAAGTCCTCTTTTGAAGGGCAAAAAAAGCAGAAATCCGCTTTGTGCGAAATGTAAAATAATTTCTCAAAGCGTCAGGTGAAACCTCAAAACGAACGAAATTAACTTTTCGCACCAAAAGGTGGCGAATTCCCTTGGCGGTACGTATTATATTAGTGTCTCCGGAAAATCTTCTGTGTTAACACCCTCCCGTGCCGCGACCATAAATGAACAAATCTATGAAGCTGGCCGGTAGGTACCACACCTGCACAGCGGTCGTCCGGGCACTTGCTATCGCCGGCCGGGTAGCTGGACGACCGCTAAATCTCTCTGTGTCAATCAGGTTTGAATCTTTCTGAGCTACCTATTATAGGGTTATCCATTGACTGTGACTGTAACTTTGTTTTATGATTGACACTGTGACTGTGGCTGAGGCTGTAACTGTGTGACTGAGACTAAGACTGTGACTTTGACGATTAAACCTTAATTGTGACCGTATACTCTGGCGCTTTTTTACCTGCCGGAAACCAATTGTGACTCATACTGTGGGTCTTGACACTGGACACTATAACACCAGACCTGGTATTGGTCCCTAGACTGTGACTGTGACTGTGATGACTGACTGTGACTGTGACTGAAAAGGCCCGGGCAGTGACTGTGCACTGGGCAGTGTCCCCGGGAAGTAGCTCGGTACCATGCCGGTGCCCGGTCAAAGAGGACCGGAGTCCCGCATCCAAGCAAACAGATCACTCTGACACATGTCAGACCATTAACCAATGCCTGCACAGATTGACGCCCTGTGAGAGTATTTACTCTGACAGATCGACCGGAGACACTAACATAATAGTGTAGATTGTCCCTTTTGCGTCAAGCTTCGAAGCGACATCCCGAGACGGTCGCCGCCGGTAAAGGTTTGAGATTCAGCCGCCGGCGACGACCGCCAAAATAAACGGGCGCTCAACGGGAGTACCGACTGGCCGTTACCGCCGTACCGGCCGCCGACTCGATCAACGGCAGTAGGTAGAAATGCATTATGCATTTGATTCTCACCGCCCTCTCACCGGGCGCCTGCCTCGTGTGCAAACATCCAAACAGTGCAATTTCAGTACTGGTCCACTGGATTTTCAACTTCAGCTGGACTCGACTTTCAAGAGTTCCATGCCATGGAACGTACCATGCATGCATGGTGCTGTTTGAGACAGAGGAGGGCCCTTCTTCAATCGATCAGTGCAATCAACTTTGAAAGAAACTCCAAGAGTATTGATTGCCCAGTTGATCAGCAAAATGCATGCCAGTGATTGCGCTGTCCTTAATTGTGGCGCTAGTACTATACTACTAGTACGTGCAGCTGACTTCTAGTAATGACTTGCGGGCATCAATATAGGGAACAGCGCATTGTGCCTCACTCATCTGAGCGAGACGGGTTACAGGTCTAGGGCTTAAGCGAATTCGTGCTCTGTCGTGCTTAAAGAACAAGATGACAGATTTGTATCTATTGCTGCCCAGATTTATCGCAATGTGCTCTTATACTGGGCATCTTTGCTTGCAACATCAAAGAGACTCCCTAGAAAGACCCCTCTCAACATTATCAAACGCCTCGAGTTTCCTTGATCAACTGCATGTCATGATACTCATAGCAACCGAGCTGCAAGATGAGCAAGGACTGAAATTATACATCACCTCATTGTGCAGGAGCCAGCATCAGCAAGGGGAATCACTCTGTTCGTTCAACTGGTTGGCCCTCAGTGGTCGTGCTTTTGCCTACGTCTACTTTTGGCCGTTTGTCAGCCCTCTTTACCAAAGGAGTCCACAACTCGGCTTCGTCATCCTTGCGCTTCAGTCCCCGCTCAACTTGCAGGGTCTCAATGAGCTTTAACGAACCTTCTCGTTGCTCCTGCAGGAAGATGAAGCGAACTTCAAGTGTCGGTCATCTGCTCGGAGTGGTAGATACGGGGCTGAAGTTTTGCTTGCAGACCATCAACCAGCTTGGAAACAGGGTGGGGGAAATCAGGCAGGCGAAGAGATTCCTCAACTGAAGAACTACTGTCTTCGACCCTTTCCTGATTCGCGACAACTGACATACAGGAGGAACCGTTAGCAAGCCCGAGTATTTGCATTACATCAGGCAAGCATGGAACGCAGAGAAGGGAACGTGTGAAAAAAAGTTTTTTGGCCCAAACAACTGATAAACACGGTCCAAAAGGTTTGCTGCAAATCGCCCAAATCGACGACTTTTGAAGCTGTCACGGAGATTCACGTAAGGATTACCCAAAATCTATTCAAATTCTGGTCATGACAACGCAGCTTTTATCGCTGCAAAATTCACGCGAATGTTGGCTTAGTTCGATGAAACTGAGAGATTCGGCTTGAAACATCTGTGTCAAATGTGGTACGTCAGAACCCTCCACGATGCCAAGACCAAGTAAAAACAACGTCCTTTTTCCAGATCGCGCGACCTTCTACGCAACAGCGAGAACAGCAGTGGCAGAAGCTGAGAACTGAGGGCCACTATGGTTGTTCTGACCTTCCACTTTTCAACCAGCTGTTTGAGCACGTCGGTACGGATCGGGTCCACAAATGACATGGGGAGGCCGAGGTCGGTGCAGACGCTAAAGGCAAACTCGTCGGGGGAGTTCTGGGGCTCGTTCAGGTCCCACAGCACCCTGTCCTTGTACGTCCGGCCCTCCAACTGCGCCATGCGAACCACACCCTTAGGATTAGATCTGTTCGTTTTTTAAGCTTGCAGCCGTGGATTTTGAGAGATTCAAGTCACGCCTTAAGCCCATATTGAAACCTTGCCTTTACTGCGTCGGACGTTTCACAATCTTGGGGAGCAGAAACGCTCCCCTTTAGCCTGCAAGAGCGACTGCCTTTGCTATCACGCGGCTTCGATGTAAGTACGGACAACAGCTTACTTTGAAAGCTTTCAACCGGTGGACCCTTTCAACTCGAATTTCCTGGCCCTCATTTGATCCAATGATGCAGGCAGTTGCTGGCAAAGAGGACAACGCCGCTTTATGAGACTGTTCGACTGCGGCCCAGCTGACTGACAAGATAAAACGCCCATGCCTATGGATCATCCGTATGCTGATGCTCTGGTTCAAACATCCAGCCCGAGCATATCAGTATGCATCTTCAGAACTCCTCCTGCCCTGGTCAACAAAAATACAGATTTGTACACCCAGGCCCCCACCTCCACGTTCAGATTGACCTCAACAAGGTGTTCCTTGCACAGGTCCTTCTTGTGGTACTTCTTGAGCCCCACGTTCAACTGTGTGGCGATAACCCGCTCCAGTGCGGCTGGGACCCCCAGCTCCTCCCACATCTTGCGCGCCACCTTGATGGGTTCAGGGGGAGCATGAGCCTGGGAAAGCAAAGCAAACAGTGCTTCGTAAGACACAAAGTCTCAGCAGGGACTGTCCTTCCTGTGTTCCAACTTCCAACGTGAATCCAGAAAGAAGAGGGCCTTCGGCCTTGCCGCTATAAGTGATAGTAAGAGAGAACTTCCAACGCAAAGTCTTTCTTGCTTTAATCAAGGCCCTGTGGACTAACTGAGATCTTCAGAGTTTGACAATCATCTGCAACGAGAACTGTGATGTTCCTAAGGTTCTGACCTGGCAGTTGTCTCATTGCCCGTCACTCGACAGCAAAAATGCAAGCCAGGAAGAGACCAATAAGTCAGTCAAGCAATGGTGGATCTCAGACCTGGAAAAGCTACTGAAAACCTTTTCAATCTGATGATGGGGTGGAGAGGCAGACTAACTACATTTGACAGTGTGCCACTGTCTCAGACATACTCGACAGAGCTGCATGGCATTCTAGAACCTGGGGCAATGCGGGGTTTCTCCTTTCAGCATAAGTTCAGCCCTGACTTGCTAAGAGCTACAAGCAACCTTAGAAGATGCTATGAAGAGAAAGTGAGATATATACTGCCTCGTTCTAGACAGTGAAATGGTCGAGGACACCCAAAGAGGCGTCCTCGGCCCCCGTGAGGTGCAGCTCGTAACAGCTCACCTGCAATCTGTAAAGGAAACAATCTTGCAGCTGGAAGGTGTTATGTGTCAGATTCACATAGATAGGTACAAGACCTTCCACGCGGCGGTCAGCTGGCTCCCCCATCAGGCCTCACTACCAGCCTCAAGGTTATGCTTCTGGCACAGGAGCAGAAGACGCAGCAACTTTGGAGTGCTGCAATTGATTGTCGTTTTTGGAAGCGAGCTGAGCTTTAGTCTGGTGCCTATCCGGACAATTGAATGACTGAAATACAGCTCCAAAAGGTAGAAGCATCCTTTGTGGTCTCCCTTGCTTTTGCTGCTCGCTACGAGGAGCAGGGGTATGCGCTTCCTACAGGCTACAGTAACACAGATCCTGGGCAGCTTCTGAAACTGGGAGCTGCAATATTATCACTCTGCAAGATTGAAAGTAAAAATGGAAGGAAGTGAATTCACCGGCCAACACGCGATGGAACTTGAGCAGGTAGACCGGCACCGTTTATTCGCCACTTTTCCGCTTTCCTGGAATGGTAGCAGAGCTCTAAAAGGCTCTACATTCATATTAGCACACCGGCCGAAGGAACGGTCTAGACGCCGTCATCAGCGGTGATACCGGACTGCCCGGTAATTGAGAACAGAAAAGCGAGGGAATTCTTTTTGTGGACTGGTGCAGCTCAGGAAGAAGAACGTGCATTCACAAGGACGGAGCGAACTCTCTTCGTTGGAGGCAGAAGCCTAGGATAAGGACAGGAGATGAATCATATGCAGAGCTAGAGGTGCTACCCTGTGGAGGGTTGCCCATTAATCATTCCAATCATTTTCGGGTGCATGCTGTCTGCCATTCAGGTCAGCAGTGCTCTTTGTCAGCAGAACTACGAGGGCAACGTGAAGCTCATTGGAGCAAGCAAGCTCAGAGCAAGGTACTGAACTCCCGCCCCCCCTCCCAACAAGTCAAATGTCTTCTCGGTCCCTCCTCAGCGAGGAAGACTATGAGGAGCTGCTCGAGGAGATTCACGGAAGGGCGAGAAGCAACTGCCTGCCCAGTGTTAAAGAGCTTTTAGGACATGAGGACGAAACATTGCATGACACCTTGGTAGAACCTGATGCTGAGGTGGGGGAGCACAAGGCCAGGCTGCATCGGCGCCTGTCATTTGCTGATGGGACAAGGTGAAGTGGCAATTGTATCAGTCTTTGCTAATGATCTGCTTCCAGCTCAGTCACAGCCATGCTTGGCAAAATGAAGTCTCCATGCTTCAATGCGTGAAAGAGTTTGCAAACGAGCCTTAACATTGACAGTCTGACATGGGCATTATTTGTGGACAGCCAGTCATGCGCTGCGGTCATGGGCATTAGCTGCATGAAGTTAGTGAGGTATCAGCCTTCAATCTAAGCATCAGCCTTCAATTTGCCTCAAAGTAGAGAGAAACAACTTTTCATGGCCTATCCGGAGGATTCCATCACCACTCATACGAATCCTGTCACTTGTCCTCTCCAATTGCCGAATTTCGCTTGTCTTGTCTGTTGTTTCTTGTCACATCATTCAGCGTACTCCAACGTAACCAGGATGACAAAGTGACGTACCTTTGCGTTGTTGCAGTTTTGTTGTTGGCGTCATCGTTGGAAGTGGTATCTTTGCAACGCCGGGCCAGGTTCTACTCAACGCCGGCAGTGTGGGGCTGACCTTGTTGGCCTGGTTGGCGGCTGGGGTGGTGGCTCTTTTCAGTTCCTTCATATATGCAGAGCTTGGGAGTGCCATACCCCATGCTGGGGGTGATAGCGAGTACCTGAGGGTAAGTCCTCGTTGTGCTTGGTCATCTCGAAGAAGATGAAAGAACGTAGGTTCACCAGGATCGTCTTTCTTGCCCTGTCAATGTGTCAATCTCTTTGGGAATTAAGATGCGGAGAGAGAGGGAAAGAGGGACCTTCTCAAGAAAGAGAAGATATGAGAAAATTGACAAGAAACCGAACGCTTCGAACGCAATCAGGTCACAGATCGACAGAGGATCATATTACTGTCGCATAGCTGAGCAGTCTACCTTTTCTGCTTGCTTGGACGCCCAGCACCATGGCCTTTAGCGAAGCCTGCTCATAAACTTGACTCTGTTGACGAGAAGCAGACATCAATTTACACCTCAAAGCTCGATCACACTCCCTTCTGTCATCAAACATCCGTGAGCAGGTCATTTAATCCGACTTGATTGGCAGGTTCCTGTCAGATCAGAAGCTTCCAAGTCTAAACTTAATTTCCTGACTTCGGTCGCAGCTTGCCTTTGGCTACCCCTGGTCGTTCGCCTTCGTTTACTCCATGTTCTTCGTCATCAAAACGGGGGGCCTTGGAATTGTGGCCATCACTTTCGCCCGCTACCTCGCCCCCCAGATCTTCTCCCTAAGCATCACGGACCCAGATCTAGATTCGGACGTCCGAGTCAAGGCGCTGGCCGTGCTGTGCATAACCAGCCTCACAGTCTTCAACTGCTTCGGTGAGTACCGCCACTTTGGTTGCCCAATGTTTCCCAATTACATTGAATTTTAGAGTCGTCCATTCCTATACTTTCAGATTGACATAGATCAGATTGAGAGCACCTCGCTGCATAAGCTTCTCTTTCATTTTCCCCTTGCATCAGATTGGGGGCCAAAGGCTACGGTTGATGACGTCTGTTGATACCTGGCCCTCGTTTCCATCATCAGTGTTGCTTGTATCTCAGACCAACAGCCGGCTGATCATCAACATGCATCTCAACGGTATGCAAACGAGGCCGTACCTCACGCTCTCTGCTTTCCCGCTTCGTCTGCCTTCTGCGTACTTATCAGAAAGTTTTCAAATAAAACAAGGGGTAGTGTGCTTTCGAGCTCTTTCATGTATCAATTTCCCCGTAATTTTGTTCCTCACATTGCCAGGCGTGCACGCGGGTGCGTGGCTGCAAAACCTGTTCTCTGTCAGCAAGGCGGCCCTCATCACGCTCCTTATTTCGGCCGCTGTGATGGGCGTCTTCCAAGACCCCAGCATCGCAGTTGACAACAGCCGGGGACTCTTTGAGGGCAGCTCGCTCACAGGACTCGGGCCCGCCATGATCGGCGCCCTATGGGCCTTCGATGGCTGGTAAGGGCCGGTTGCCATCTCCTTTTCTATTCTACTTCGGGTTTGCCAAATTTGGTGCGGTTGGCGTGCCGCTTTGGAACGAACTGACCCTCTTGTAGAGTAGTGCTGACAAGCCAACCACTGGGCGGAAGGCCCGTCATCCTAGTTTTGGGTGTGTGCACGGCGTGTGTGGAACCGCACCGGGGTGTTGTCAGCGCGGTTATCTCGAGCAGCCTGTGCCCGGGTGCTATGCTCCGACGGCAGTTCAAGTCATGTCAGGTCAAATCAACATTTCCGCACCCGTCAAGTCTCGACTGGGCAGGTTTGGCTTAGGATGGGCTGCTGTGGTGGCCGCCTCTCGCCGTAGAAGACGACGAATATTTCTGGCAGGTTCCGTGAAGGATTGGTTGGCTCATGATCGAACGAACCGGTTCGTCATTTCATCCTAGCTTAGTGTTCTGCCTCAACCAACCCCCGGCTTGTCTGCAGGAACGACATCGTGTTTCTGAGCGAGGAGCTGAAGAACCCGGCCCGGGACGTCTCACGGTGCGCCATCTACGGAATATTTGGCGTCGTGGCCATCTATGTAAGCGCCCGTTTGCCCGTCGAGGGCCGTCGACCGAACTTGCGAAGGATGATCTTCTCGAAACGATTCCTCCAACCGTGTCTTACCTCTCTTTTGTCACCTTCGTCAAGTGTTTGGAATCAAGTCCGAGAGTTACTTCCATTCGCCTCTCTGGAGATTCGGAGTGCTTCAGCTTTGGAGCAGAGTTCGCTTTTTGAAACGTGTATGTCAGTCGTTTCTCGTCCGTTAACCGTGTTCTTCGTCGAGGCCTCTGTGGCTGGACTGAGGCTCAAGGCAGCGCCCGGGAACCGAAAGCTCCTTGATCGGTCTTCGGAGAACGTCAATTTGTTGGACTGTTTGCAGGAGGGTCTTCGCTATGAGAATATGTGGAGCTCTTCAATCCCTAACATGCATAGAGTCCCAAATACTAAAGTATCTGTTCGAAAGAAGATTTGAAACCTGGCTTATACGAAGTATGTCGTGCGCAGATCCTGGTCAACATTTCCTACCTGTGTATCATCCCAGCCGCTGGTAAGTTGCTGGCATGAACCTCCTCGTCGTCTCGTTCATCATTCTCCGGACACGATACTGTAATCGCCTACGGCGCTCTGACCTCGTTGTCCACCCAAAAACTCGTGCACCTTGCTCCTACGAAGTGACTGCTGGACGTTTTGAAGGAGATATCCAAGCGGATCGCAGGCAATTACTGGTGTGCAGTAAATATTGACTCTTTCAAAACAACGCAGTCTTTTCAAGTATCCCTGCATTATAACGTTCATTGTTTTACTCCGTGTCCTGCATCGCAAAGCCGCAACATTCCTTGTCCCTCCACAATCTGGTGAAACGCCGATTCCATAAAGAGCGCTGCCAGAAAGTCCGACTCGTTAACTTCAGTTTGCCGCACCACCCCGTCCTGCTGCAGCCTTCAAAGTGAGCCAAGTGATCGCTCTCGACGCCGCCAGCCGCGCGTTCGGGCCGTGGGCCGGAACATGCGCTGCGCTGCTGACTGCCGCGTCAGTGTTGGGATCCTGTAACGGGAGCATCCTGGTGGGCGGGCGATATCTATATGCCACGTCGCGAGAGGGCCAGTTCTTCTCGTTCCTGGGCCGGGTCAGCCGCAAGACCGGGGCGCCCTACCCGGCACTGCTGACCCAGGTGTGACGTCAGCAAGGGCTGCTTTGTTACTCGTTCGGTCGCAAAGACAGAAGCAGGCTCTCATTGTGGGCCTGATCTCTTTGTAACTTCGGCTGCGAAAGGACGTCCTCTTAAGACGGTAGTGCCACTCCAGTTGCTCGTCGGAATGATGTGACCCTGGAGTCAGCGTTTTCACGTATTCCGAAATGCGAACACGTGTTTAAGACCACCGGTGTGCAGGTCCCGCATCTTGAGATTGCTTGCTTCCGTCAACCATTATTCTCCCCTTTTAAGTCGTCTATGAGACATTGAGCCCCTTCTTCCGCAGGGCGGTCTGGCGTGCCTCGTCCTGCTCGCGCCTGCCGCCAACCTCGCGTCCCTCATCCAGTACTTTGGCGTCGCCGTCTGGCTCTTCTACGGCCTGACTGCTGCGGCGCTCATCAAACTGCGGCACGACTTTCCCGACCTCCCGCGGCCGTACTCAGTCCGGCCCTACCCGCTGGTGCCCCTTACCATCATCGCAGTTGCGGGGTGAGCGGTGCTTCTTGCTTTACTGCAGATTCGTCAGTAATGCAGTTTCGGTCAAATTCGTGCCGTTTGATTGGTAACTGTCGGTTCATCAAGGATCCAAGTTTTCCGCATCGGGCAAAGTTTTGCAGGTTAGGCAGCTGCTGGCTTGACCGAATCTGCAGTACCTTGTCATCACTCCCTTGAGCTTTGCTCCTTTCTCTTCCGTAGCCGGTAACTTTGCCCGATGCCAACATCTGACTAGCTACAAGAACTTACGTTTAGGGATTTCAAATCGGACTGGCCTTCTTGAAGTCATCCTACTATAAGTCAACTCTCGTGATGCTTTACGCAATTTCCCCTGCGTTCGCCTCGCAGTTCCCAACTTTGCACGCTGTGAGTAGGTCAAAGTGCAATGGCACCGAAGCCTGCTGTATAGTTGCTTTTGCCCGCAGCGTAACAAGCTTCGCCCGCTTTTCACCGTGCATAATGATCCCAAACCAACAGAATAGAGCAGTGTAGTGTCTGACAAGTGCCATCCCATAATCTGCAGGTACCTCATTGTCACGTCGTTCGTTGAGCAACCATTCCCGTCGTTGTTGTCGCTGGCATTCGTTTTGTCGTCCGTCCCTGTTTACTACCTTTTCTTCCGAGTCCAAGAACCGGTGGTGACCCGACTGTCTTGAGTTGCGGACGGGCCACATTCAGAGATCATTAGCCCAGGCTTTGCAGAACATATATCGAGCTGCTGCGGAAGAAAAGACTCAGCAAATAGATTATTTCAAGATTGGAACGTATCAATGAGTCGCCTACCAAGCCTGACTACAGTCGTCTTCTTATTGCGCGTCTTTACTGAAGGTTTTGGAGTTGCAGCCCACTCGACACTTTAGGAACAATGCAGATAGGAAGTATATATGGGATTTGACTGAGGTGGCCAAGATCATAGTAGAGGCCAAAGGTGATTGTCAGGCGCGCAGCTGTAGGTGCAATAGATATGCGCACAATGCAGACGGATCTAGGAGAAGAGCATGTGGATCGACGCGGAGACAACCGCAGCAAGAAGTTTCAAATCTGCAGTGTTGCCAGTGAAAAGGGCAGCCCTTCGAAATATCGTTTCAGGAACCATGAGTTATTGCTCCTTGAGAACTTGACCTTGAGCACATGCTCAGTAATTTCTCGGTGACATCAACTTTGACTCGATCTTCCACTGAAGTTGACGTGTTAAATGCTTGGCCGGCGCAGCGACTGCTGCGGCATGCGATGTTCGGATCTGTACGTTGTATATGCAAACCTAGCCACGGAGCTGAACTCGCGAGACCAATGGCCTGCACATGTGGTCGAGGACTAGGTATACGTCGCTATGTCCGCCACCTCTATATATCCGCGGGCCGGGCCGGGCCATATCGACGTACATGATACATGCAGTAAAGCATATGGCAACTCAAACATGCTTGGCCATATTGAGCGATCGCGGTGCGCAAATAATAGTCGGATCGTGCGCGTACGGCGACCAAATTTCTACCATGCAGCTTCTGAATGTGATCTGGCTTAGAAACATGAAAGAAACGGAGAGCAAACAAGACCGTCAGCAGCAAATCCATTTATATTCAACCAGGCGATATTGCGAAGTACTTGTAGCCTGTCCGTTCTAGGTCTCTTAGACGACATTCGAGTCGCTTCGCTTCGACCTCGACGATCTTGCGATCACTTCGCGTCAGCAGCAACGGCGTGAGCAACGTTCGCGAACCTTCGATTCGCGAGAACGTCCACGTCATGTACTTCGGGCCCCCTTTCGTCCCTTCCGAATCTGCCGAGGCGCTCTGAACGTTTTCCTCCCCTCGTCTCGGTGTTTCTTCCGACAGCGCTTCTCTACCGTTCGTTTGTGACAAATTTGCACAGGCTTCCAGCCCTCCCTCCTCGACACCCGAGCAACCAGGCCCACTCTGAATAAAGTCTCTGACTCTCAACCGGAGCGCTTCTTCCCAGATCGGCTTTGCAGCCAACAGCAGCTTCTCAGCTGCGGCGGGCTGAAAAGGGATCTTCCCCGGTTCCCTTTCGTCTGCAGCCCCAGTCTCGTGAAAGTCCGATCCCCCAACTTTGAGTAATTTGTACAGGTCCGCTAAGGGGCCGTAGGCCGTGATCTTGGTGGAGTCCTGGTACACCTCGATCCCGTCGAGACCTGCAGTCAGAGACGAAATGAACGGTGGTACAGGCTCGTAGAAAATAAGCCCTTGGCTTTTTTCATACTGTTTAAGGCTCCACGGCTTGTGAACGGTTCTACGAAAAAGGTGAGAAGGAGACAGCAAGTTGTTCCGAGGCGCCGACCATCGTGCCGGCTGAATCCATACCCCAAAGCAAGGGGCCCTGGATTGTAGAGAAAGGCAAAGCACGTTGACATTTGTACGCTCTTGAATCGCTTGTCCAATGATGTTCCATTCAAGCGAAGCCACCCATTCATGTTTGTTCTTTTCTCTGTATTAAATGATCTCCATCCTCTGGACTGGAGTATGAATAAACGACAAAAACCCAGACATTTGACCATAATGTATGTCGAATGAGACGTTGGCCGAATCTCCTCCTCGTTTCAGAAGGAGAATTTCCTTCTCGTTTCAGAAGGCGGATCCGCAAAGAATAATCTCATCCCCCTCACCGGCTGCGGCTAACCGCCCAACAATCGCCATGGTGTCTTTCCGGATGGACCACGGGTGCGCCAGCACAGACACGCCGCCACAGCGCCGGATGAGCGGAATGGCCTCAAGAGCGGGGATCTCGCAACCCCTGCAACCAACGAGCTTCTCCGTTAGAAAGTGACGGTCTGCTGTAACAAAGAGGTTGACGCTGGCAAGGACCTCTTGCTGTAGCGTTAGGAACCGGGTACAGATTGGCTACAAGGTCAGAAACGACGAGAAAGGCCCCGTTAATCTTCAACCGCTCACGGAAAATGATCCTCGAAAAGCTGGGTGCCACGGTCAGATACGAGGGTCCTGGGCTCAGTACGAAGTTCCTATCAGAGAGTGATGGGGCGAAAGGGAATTCTTTGAATCTCAGATCAAGTTTAACAATCGCACCAGCTTCAACTAGAAAGGAAGAGTCTGAATTGGTTCTCCCATGAGACATCGAAATTGTCCCCTTAAAAATTACGCGAAGGAAAGCGATTCTAATGGGGAGTAAGTCCAGACTACTGTGCACCCGATCTCAACGAATCGAATCTCGACAACCATTGGACAAGGATATCAGCCATCCCTCGACGATGTTGCTCCAGTAAAAGCAGTGCTATTCCGAACCTTTGATGACTAAATGGTCACCCTACCTGGCAAAGGCAGGCCCGTCATCCCTCAGGTACAGCCCAAACGCGTCCTTCTCCGAAGCCACATGCCCCGCCTCAAGCAACGCCCGCGCTACATGTGGCCGCCCGGGAGCCACCCCCGGGCCCGCAATCTCAACTACCCGAGAGAGCTTGATAGGCTTCCCAAGCGCCCGGAGCTTGTCCACCATGCACTTTGCCCGCCCAAGGCGTCCAGTACGAATCCTCGAGAGCGCCCGGTGGAAGTCCCCGGGGTTGCTGGGGCCTCCAGGGGCAAAGTAGGCCAGGATGTGGATGACTTCGCCCTGGAGGGGGTCGGAGGGCTTGCTCGCAAATGCGGAGATCTCGACGCCAGGGATGACCCTGGGGGAAAAGAGGATAAGTAGGGGGTGCATGAGAACAATGAACTCTGGCTTACCTGCCAGTATTTCAAAAAGTCCTTTGAGTGATGCACCTGAAAGCAATGCTTCGCAGTCTTCTTCCTCATGTGCTTTGGAAAAGGGGCAATCATTGTGGAGATTACAAAAGCTCAGGGTGGACCTGAGATGCTCCCAGATTGAGCAGGGGGGGATCAAAAATGGCATTCGATGCATTATGTGCCCCCACAGGTAGAAGTATGAACTATAGCCAGGGCAAATACAGTTCCGAGAAATTCTGAAATGTACCATCCATCGCAAAGTCAACATCAGTTGGTAGGAGCGGTGGTGTGGGGTAGTGGCACTTCAAGGAGCGCATCTCCACGCACCTGACGCCAAGCTGCGCTCCTGCTTCCGCCGCCTCCTCAACCCCCGCCATGGTGTCATGATCTGTGAGCGCCATGATCCTGACGCCATTCGCTGCAGCCTTCCTCACCAGCTCTGTTGGCGAGAGCCGGCCGTCGCTGCATGTGCTGTGCATATGCAAGTCCACAAGACCATGATCTGGCCGCACGCCTTTCTGCGTTTTGAGATTAATTGGAGAAAATGTGGTGAAAGAATGGAGTCTCCCCGCTGTTGAGGAACCTTTTGATTCTCCAGGAGAGGGGCTGACACCGTCCCCATCGCTACCGCTGCTGTCAGAATCTGAAAGGGTACAGCCTATTCCAAGGCCGTACGCGGCCAAGATCCTTTCTTCTGCGGCCTCTGGATCCACGTGACTACTTTTCTTTCTGCAACTCGACTTTTTACTTTTACTCCGCCTGGCCATCTTGCCCGGATTGCTGGCCTGCCTACATGAATAGCGTTCACCTCGCAGCTGTGCAGGCGTCACTCCGTCCTGCTCATTAAGACGCCTTCCAAAGCTTGATTCGCAGGAGCGCTGATCCTGATTCTGACGACCACATTCAATTTCTAGCATTTTGATTTTCCAGCATTTTGAGCTAGTGCTTTATAGGGTTTCTTTCTCGAAATTAGGGTTCAACTTCAAGCACCTTAAGCTGCAGAATTTTTGTCTTCAAAGGTTGGAAAGAAAACATTCATCCTCCGTGCTGATCAAGCTCGCCAAGGAGCAGAGGTTGATGCTGAGCAGGGGGAGTTGTACTTGTGAGGATGAGGGCTCTCCAGGGCGTTGGTGCACATGCGGTGCGCATGCGCAGGCTGTGGAGCTATCAGGCAATGCAGATGCTGCGGCCGCCGCTTTTAGCGGCAGATCTTTCCCAAAACCTTCTCCTCTCCAATCAATTTCTGGCTGCCCATTGCGCAAGCTTACTTTCTCAATTCCAGTCAGCATCTTTTGCAATGCACCAACGCCCCCAGATTCAGCTGCCTCAACCATCATCATCTGGCAGCATTGCACACCACTTTCATCGAAATCTCTGGAGACCAACCATGTTGCTTAGCATGGAGAACCGGGCCACCTTCAGCACAGAGTCTGAGACTGAGGCTGAGATTCGGAAGGAGGCGCTGCGCCCATTCGCGCAGAATCGGCAACACTCAGAAAAGGGCAGCCTGGAGGGGCCAGCCCCAAAGTACAAGGTGTGGAAGGTGACACGAGATGGGCGCAAGACCGAGGAGGAGATTCCACAGGAAGCACTGGTGGGCCCACACCCTGATTCTGCATTAGGTGACCTCATTTTTAATCAAAACTGAAGATCTGATCAGGTGACAATTGACCGTATAGCAATTCACAAACTTTCATCAAACAGATGGGATAAACACAAATCCCTTAAATGGAGCACTTTTGAAGCATTGAAAACTCCTTCAGATTGAACCCAGCTCATTGAATGAAGCTTACATATTAGTGGTGCATCTCCTCAGTTTGAATCAGACAGTGGTACACTCATGGATCCAATTGGAGATCAACTGCCATGGCCCAGGTCTTTGGTTAGGTCATCGAGCGAGCAATAATCAGGATCTAAGCCCTCACTTTAATGGCTGTTTGAGCAATAGTGAGAGGCCTTGTTTTTCTGCCAGGGGCTTCCTCCCAGGGACCTGGACATCCTGAGCTCTGTTACGTTCACCCCCCACAGGGCCCAGATCGGAGCCAGGGGTGGGAAAATGCTAGTCCGAATGGAAAATCTGCGCGCTCTCATTGCCCCTGAGGAAGTCATCTTCTTTGGCGGGCGCTTCGCCAGGTGAGGGGTCAAGAAAAGTATCATCTCCTCTTTTGCATGGACAATTGTAAGAAGACAAGTTGGACCTTGAATCTGCTGTGCTATCTCATTGCCTGTGGCTAAGAGTCAGAATCAGGTGCACATTGACCCAGGACCCTGTTGTTTCTGCCAGTGTTCAGTTCTCTGACCCCTCTAACCAATCAAACTCGATAGGGCTTTTTCTCGATACAACAGAGAGCCCAACTCACATGTTTGACACGTCTTTGACAGGAGTAGGACTTGACTTCCTCCACCGAGTCTTTCTATAGAATTTGGTCCCAGAAAGTACCTAAAAGTATTGACAGTTCCCCGATCGCTTTCGCAACTTTAAGCTCGTATTTCCTTGCTCCCTTGTCTGGGCTTCTCTGTGGTAATGTCATATCATATCTTGACTTTTTGCCTCCAGTGATTGAAGGTCAGGCAAAAATTCCGTCTCCTTCCTTCTGCGGTCCGACCCCTGCCCATTCCTCCATGCCCATTGTCGAATTCGTTTGTATCTGTTTTGTCCGACTTGTCCTCTCGTTTTGTCCCACATTAAGGACCTTTGCCCCCTTTCCATCAATTTAACGCCCCCTTCCCCGCCAGATCAGCCGCCACCTGTGCGGAGCTGGCCGCCTCGTTTCTGGCGCAGCACCCGCAAGGAGGCAGCCAGTTCCCGTTCGAGCTGCGCATGCTGGAGTGCATCCTGCGCGAGACGCGCACCTACTTTGTGCACAAGATCGCCAAGCTCAAGATGGTCGCAGAGGCCATGCTCGAGGACCTCGCCTCCGACATCTCCACCGCGGGGTGAGCTTCGCTGCAAAACGACAGGCTTTGAAAACGATTCAGGAGCTGCCTTCCGCCATGAGAAAATGTAGAAGTTTCCCTGGACGACTCACAATCGAAAAGGCGGTCATAATTGGCACAAGCAAGAGGTCAGAAGATGACAAAAGTGCTTCTTTTGGACAACAAACTTCGACGGTTCCCATAAATTGAGAGGTCAGACGGCGCAGTTACACTCGACTTAATCGCACTCTTGACGCCTTACTTACCAGGAGTGAACTGATAATTGCAAGCTCTCGATAGATGGACTAAAGGAGGATTCTCCGCATCACTCTCTAAGGAAATGAATCGCGTACGCAAGGTTGAGAGCTCAGGGGCTTTCGGTGAAGGTTTCACCTGCTTAAATCTATGGTCCCCCTTCCTCCCTCAGGCTTCACCTGCGGCTGCTGCCCCTGAAGCGGACAATGACCGAGGTTGACAATGACGTCAGGGAGACGTACGAGGCGCTGACGGAGGTGATCGAGAACGACACGCTGTTGATGGACCTGTGCCGGACGGTGGACGAAGGCTCGGAAGGGGCAGAAAGAGCAGGTAATGAGGTGAGGGAGGGTTCCATGCGAATGGCTGACGGCCTGCGTTATGTGTTTGAAACGAAGCTGGCGCTGTGGCTGCTTGATCTTTTGTCAGACAGCCTCAGATGATAGTTCGAAAAGCCTGACGTCTTTCTGCGTGCCCTACTCTTCTTCTTCAAGTTCCTGAGCCTTGGATACCTCTTGTACCATATACCAAGCCTCGAAGAAGCTTTTTGCGTACGTAGTGGTTGTTGACTGTCGCAAGTAGGGTCGAAAGCGACAGAGCTGTCATGTGACTTGGTTACTCTCACAATCTGCATGCGCGCCTCCCTCGCTCCTGCTGAGTCGAAACAGTACAAAAGGTTGCTTCGTATTGCTTTCCTTCACATCCCCACCCCATTTCCGTTCTCTGGTGGGCGGCATCGCAACCTGTTTTGGACCCATCAATTTCCGGCCGAAGCACCGTAGCGAACGCTCGAGATCGGAAGTAATGCTTCTCCTGCTGGTCGGAACCTTCGTCCGTCTGCTCTTGCCAGGCGGGTGGGTCGGGGCGCAAGCGCGCGGTGGTGGCGATGCTGCTGAGCTACCAGCGCGAGGTGCAGGACGTGGGCAGCGCGCTCAAGGAGCTGCGCGAGAACATGGACTCCGCGCAGGCCGTGTGGGAGCTGGGGCTGGACAGCACGCGCAACCGCATCATCAAAATGAACCTCTACATCGGCATGGCCACGCTCTCGGCCTCCTGGTGCGCGACTGATTTTACTCGCAGCTGCCTTTTAGCTACTCCCTCGGTTTATAGCTGTTCTTGCCGTTGGAAAGCCTGGCAATAGCCTGACACCATTTTCATCTCTCCTCAACCCTGCCTTATGCAGGCCCTGCTTTGCAACTCCTCCTGCTTTTGGTGATGAAAAGATGTTCTCGAGGCTCGGTTTGACGACTTTGATCGAGGTCGGGTGGTGCTGAGAGGTAGAGCAAACACGCGCTGCTTGTTAAGTGACTTTTACAAAAAGACTCCCGAGTACGAGGCATGGTCCCTTCAGGCGTCATTTTGTCGGAGGGGTAAGTTTGTGATGCTTTTGTTGGATGGTTCACAAACCCGTACCTTGAACCAACAATTTGTACTCCGGATTCACAAGGCAGAATCTCTCCGGTTGAGAATACCCAGACGAGAGAATCCATGGCAGGACAGGCGTTATCCTTCTTTGAGCTACATCCGGTACACTTCGTATGTTTCTAACGACCACGGTTCAGCATGCCCCGAATGACGGACAGCTTGATCGAAGCCCACTGGAACTGCACCTGACCCGGAATGGGCTTTGCATCACCGAGATAAGCCCTCGAACACGCCCAGAACGGCTATGTCGCAAACTTGTTGAGAAGCATCCTCCACTGCCAATCGCGATCATCTTTTCCACTTGCTGTCAACAGCGCGCAGTTGCCGGCCGCGTTTTTCGGCATGAACGTCCCGAGCGGGCTGGAGGAGGCGGGCGGCCTCTTCCCGTACATCACCGGCGCGGCATGCGCGGCGTCGCTCGGCCTCTTCGGGTACTGCCTCTACTGGTACAAGTTCCGGCCGCAGAGGAAGCACCAGCGGAGGCTGCAGGCAAGCCGCTGACTGTGTACTTTAGCGATCTACATTCAGGAAACCAATGGACCCTTGTGATGAAGCTTCGAGTTTGTGATCAGATTCCAGAAGACTGGGCTGGTTTCTGTCTCGCAGGGGCTGACACTTTGATGGTGCGTGTCTGTGAGTGTAAAATGGAGGCTTAATGAATAGAGTCCGAGGGCCCACCCACACATTCAGGCAGCATTCTGTGGGCTGTGGCCCTGTATAGTATTGCGGGCATGCGTTGTTGATCTTTTGTAAGATGAGCGATGTTTTGCCGGCTCTCGATTCAACTCGTTCGGGTCGTTTACAATGCCAGGGTTTCTTTTTGACTAGTACCTCCGACGCAATCCCAACGCACTGACCACTTTCGAAACTCGACAAGGAGCACAAGGCTGCTACACAATGGCAGCCAGCACCGCATGCCGATGGTGGCTTGCAGCTGCGTCTGTCTGCTTGTGTGAGCTTTTGCCACGTGTCGCTCGTCAGGACATTGCGGCCCTGCGGGATCTACTGCATCACATCGACGACCTGGATGACATCATCAAGAAGGGGATGGGCAAACGGCCGCACGTGAATGAGCAAGAGTTCACCGAGATTCTGAGGAACCACCCCGCGACCGCTCAACTGAACAAGGTACGCGCACGTTTGCCTCTGAGTTCTAGCGATCTTATCACCGATCGAGGTGGCTCGATTCAACACGAGGTTCAAGCATAGAACTTCTTCAGCGTTCTCTTTTATAATCAATCTGAGGCCGGCGCTGCACCGTTACATTGTCGAACCCTCTGTTTCGCATCCTGTTGTAAGGTGGAAGTAGCAGAGTATATTCCCGCGGCACCTTTCAAAAAAAGGTATGGTGCGCTGCCCTTTCAAAACAAGAATGAGAGGCTTTCAGAGCGGTGGAGATAAGCGGTTCATGATACGTCTTTGTTTGCATGGCTCTTCATTGGTTCGAAGATTTTTGCACTGTCACTGGAAGCATTTTGCGTATAACTGCAGGGTTCAGTGGCGCTCATTTTCCGCATGCTCGACCAGAATAAGAACCACTGCATCGACGTAAGCCCCGGCCGAAACCTTACCCGACGAACCGTCTGGCAATCAAGCATCTGCTCCTCCTTGCCGGTCCGGACATGCTTCGCGTTAGAATACAATCTCTTCGAGGCCTTTGCAATCCCACTGGTGGACCATTTTCTCTGTCGCAAGGGTCTTTCAAGGAACTTGGAGTTCCATATGAGAGCCGTCTCGATCCTAATCTGCATCGCTTTTTTCAGGTTGAGGAGTTCGGCAGGGCACTTGATAGCCCAACAACTTACAAGAACTCGCAACAGATCCAATAACCAGATTGATAGAACCGTTGGACACGCTGGTAACCGCTGCCAAGTTCTCCAACATGTAGTAAAAGATAGTAGGCAGGTACACACTCAAACTGACTCATTAATGATAATTCACTGGCAATTGTCGCCAGAATGATGATCTCCCCGAGCAAGTGTCAAATGTTAGTAGTTGCCTTACTAGCCAGCCAATAATAATCTTGCAAAAGTGTACATTGCCGAACTCAAGATCGGAATTTATGAGAACCGATCGGCACTTCCCATGCAACTTGAAAAGCAGAGCAGCAGCTTGCGATTTCGACATCGATAAGCTTAAGACGTTCCATGGCACGTCTACCGTATACGTTGCTCACGTCGCACATGACACTGAATGTCGGTCTTGTCAAAGACTGGTTGCATGCTCTTATGTTTGCCGCGCGCAACATTTCGGGTTAGAGAGCCGACTCCGGTCCTTGTCCCCGCGCGCATTGCTCGCGCTATTGTATTGACCATCGATCTTGTTTGATATAACTAACTATCGGGTACAGCTTGAGCGTGCAACATATATCATGTGTGACGCCCATGATTGTCGACCGTCGTCTGTTCCTACTCGTCTGAGCTGACCTCAGGTCCGGCCAACTTATACTGAGATTGAAAGGTATTTTCATAATCTCGTCCTTCGAGCTACCAACCGAGCGACGGATTGCATGCTCGAACACGCGCACATTAATTGCAACCCTCTAGAGAGAGCAATACTGTTCCTTCATCCGAAGGTGAGGAACAGAATTTGCGGCTTGCTTTTCTCCTTTGGCTAGATTTAACCCAAGTAATCGGTAGATCGCCGGTAGTTGTAACTAATTTCTGCTCGCGCACATGTGTGTCCCGGTCAAAGGAGGATATGGCCGCCCGGGGATAGGGATACCTACCCGGTTTAGCACAGCACCAAACGGACTTTCAAGCTTCATTCAATATACCATATTGGCAAGTAGCGCCACAACCCGGGGCTCCAGTCGAAGTGAACCTCCTCATCCCGGGGGTTTGTATCCTTTCCAAGAGGTATGCACCGTACGATGAAGTGCTGAGTTTGGACAAAACTTGCCATAACACTAACCGTCCATTGGCTGGCTGCACTTATCGGACGGTTGCTGTGATCTGCAGGAATCTAGCCCAGGCACATTTGCTCGCATGCGCAGCCTGACTGCCGATCATCGGAT